TACAGCTACGAGGCCACTTGCGAATGAATCACAGTGGCACAGATTTCCTCCCATCGAAGTGCAAAATTGATAGTGATACCAACGATACGACACGACATGTCCGTAATTACACGAACGCACGTGTATACACCAACATACTCCGGATCGTTCTGCTTGTTTATCGATCAAAGGTGGAACCGAAAGGGGCGGAAACCTTTGTCTTGAAAATTAATACTCTAACGTAATAAAGAGAGTCCCGAGGAAAACATAAACGTAGAAAATTGCAGCGTTTCGTCGCCTTTAAAAACGTTTCACGGCTTATCGCGGTGTTGGTACGTTTGCTCGTTACAATTTACATAACATTCGCATCCATTGTCGTTCAACGTCGAGCGGGCACGTAACACACCCGTGTCGATATTTGCTTTAACTGCACTTGTTTGAAGGAACCGGTATATTAAAACGAAACGAAACAGTCGGACCTGTCGCGTGAAATCGATGGAACGAGACGGAAATGAAAAGGAATTGCTCGTTGTCGTTGGTATCTGTTCCTGCAACGAATCCCGAAATGCATTCGGAACGTGGAACGCTGCACTTGGAGACCGCTCGACGTCGTATTCGTCGTCGGGGAGATCGATCGTCGTCGCTCGACAACGTTGCTCCTGAGAAAGGCGCCGGGGCTTTCCGTTATTGAGAATAAACCAGGTCAAGTTTCCCGCCTACCTACGGTTTTTTTTTCTTCCACGTGCACGCTGGAATCGGCACCGTTGACATAGGGGCACCGAGTTGCCTGTCTGCACCCTGCCCCCTCCTGTCGCTTTTCCCTTTCGATAGACTGACAATGAAGACGCGTAAGATCATCCACGGTGGGATCATCTACAGGGTGTTCGAGAAATTGCGAGACTTCAATAACGCACTGAGTGTCGAATGATGAAACACATTCCACGTAACTTGTATTTCGAAGATATGAGTCACCTGTATGATTCATTCGTCACTTTCTTCTTACTGTTCGAAGTGTGGTCCTGCAAAAATGTTGGACCATCTTCCTCTGAATATTCTATAGAATTCTACGAAGGAGATTATACTGAATTCCGTCCTGTACTACTTCATTATTCTTTTTGTTCAGTCTCGAAGTAGATGGTGACAGTAAAGGACAGCCCAACGCGGAACTCCGTACGTCGCTCGATCCTCATACATTAAAGCTCGCGACCGTGAGAAACGGTTGAGTTTGTACTTTCAACGGTGTGCGTTCGTTGAGTGAGATCGCGAAACGGGCTGGCATCGTGAGAGATTACTGCGAGGAATCCTCCGTTTTCACGGAGCCTGAACAAAAGGGCGGTCATAACGTCACATTTATAGCAGGGCAAAGGTTTTATCGTGTAATGAACTGCTGTAACACAACTGAGACTAGACCAACGTAGTTCCACTCGGCTTTCTAAACTGTAAGAGTCAAAAGTAGGTAATATCGTTTTGTGCAATTGAATGTATAAATTCTAAATAAAATTCTTCGATGTTTATTGTGTATCTAAGAACTTTTTATTCAATCCATTACGAACAATCTCGGAAGGAATCCTCGTTGACCTTTATGGCTGAAATCTCACGTGAACACGAAATAGAATCTCCCACAACGGTGTTCTCCCCGTCTCGTTCCGACGGGGCACGAAGAAGCAAGGAGAACGACCTATTCCAAGACGTTTTGCTTTTCTGTTCAGAGAGAAAGGGAATTGCCTGGGTTGGTGAGACTAACCTCTACCGATCACGTTCCTCGAACCGATCGTGCGAGCAACAGTTTCGAACGGGGGGGCCTAGCTTACCTTTAAATGTAAAGTCGCGATCGAGACTCAGATTTCAACTGGTTGCATAATGCAACTTTATCACCGTACTCGGTCTTTCGCTTTTAATTGAACCCACCTACTCTTCCGTGATTTAGCGAAGCGTAGTGGGGCAAAAACAAGGTCCCAAAGCTCTAAGATCTCGGGATCAATGCAGACTATAGAAAGTGCTCTTCCGTAAAATGCATGATACGACCTCGGACAACCCTAGCAGTCCACCTGCCCCAGGCAATAAATCAGACAAGATGGAGCCCTGTTACACGACCTTAAAGGGGCAGGCTCGAAACATATTATGCTCCGTTCTCACGACTCGCTTTTAACTACCTCAAACTCGTATTGTCAACTAATTTAGATCTCTTTATGCAATCTTGTTAGTGATCTATGCAGACTGCAATGTAGCACCACTTGCAACTTTAACGAACCTACGTACTTATTAAATTATTCTAACACGAATGATCTAACATGACGTCGCTATTTGCATTAAGGATGAAGAAATCTTTATGACCTTAAGGCCCTAAAGTCTTCTACAATTACACTACATTATTCTAATAATGTGACATTAAGTCAGACTATGAATAAACGTGAAGAAATAAGTAAAACCCGACTCCAGCGAAATCGTATCGACTGGCTTAACTATTAAATTATATAGAATATTGAATGCAATTTCTCTGTCCAACTTAACGTCACTTTCTAACCAAGATTTCTACATTATATACCTTTAAAGCAAATTAAACGATGTCTCTCGGTTCCACGGCATTAATTCCATTAATTCCCCGGCAAGTGGGGAGGCATTTAAATAGCAATAAACGGTCGCGATTATGGCCGTCGATCGGTGTTTCATGTTCAGGGACAGCGAACAAACGATTCGACGTGACAGTCAGTCCACTGTCAAGAGGCACTTGGTTTCCCGTGCGACAAAACGTTATCGTGGCGCGTCGGCCTAGGCCACGCGCAACGGCTGTAATCGTGCCACCTGGTTTCCAAAGCGGCATTTAGGTCTTCGCGGCCGAGCATCCCGACAATTATTGATTTTCGTTTCGAAAAGAATCCTGTTCCCGCTCGAACTTGTTCTCAGACTCCGTTCCCGACTGTTTTCCTGTTGCGGTTTCACGATACATCCTGTATCAGTCGCAGATAAAAATACCATTCAGGGAACTGTTACCGATATTCAACATTGAAGGACGAATAAACGATAGATCAAACTTTGTACATAGCACATTTTCAGATAAACACTTCCTTAGGAATTTCCTGTAACGCATACATTATTGAAGTTACGACCATGTTTTGCGAAACATCGAGTATATACAGTCTACCATAGTTTTAAAACGCAGCTACATGCCTTGGAATGTATTATAGCAAATCAGTTGCATAGAGAAGGTCCAAAGAAGCAGTCACCTTTCGTGAAAGTTGTTCGTAGATCTAGCCTGAGAAAGACACCTTCACCTGGGACCGATGATGCATGCTCGTCGACTAATTGCAGCGATATCTAATCCAATTATTTTCATAAACAATCGACCCTGCGCATCCGGCAACGATACGAAGAAAGTTCGACGAAATTTTTCTGCAGTAATGGGAAGCAACGCCGCGCTGGCGAGGCGCAGAAATCATTCGAGGGATATCATGAACAAACAGAAAATCGATACAGACTCGTTAAATCTCACTAGAAGAAAGTGTAAAAAATTTCACTAGAAGCTCGGAACACGAGCGGGAAGAAGTCTGCGGCTTGATACCGTCCTCGTTCTTAGAACATTTTCTGGTTCTTAGTTTGCAGAAGCAGGCTGAAAGCTATCAGACCTGTTCTCGACTTGCCGTCCAATCGACGGAAAGCAAACTCTTTTCCTTGATACTCGAAAAACTGGTGAGTGTTCGCCTCGGTTTGCACGATATTGCAAAAGTAAAAGAGGAAAACTTTACTGAGTAGTCAATGTTCGACGTACAATATTTCGGTAGATTTCCTTAACTATAAGGCCTCCAGAACTCCTGAAAACCACCGAACAACTTCAAATTCATGAAGTTAAAACTAATTGTAAGAGAGATCGTATGCGAGAAACACGCTTCCAATCGAGTATAATCAACAAAAGTTTCCTTCCCTTTCCAAACCACGTCTAACCCACAAATAGAAAAGTGAATTCAGTCTGTTCTGTCTCCTTCTTCACCGTTCGCCAATAAATCCTCGGATTCCAGTCTGTGTCATCCAATGGACACTGTTGCCTGTGAATGCCAATTCTGTCGAACACTACCTACACAATAATATTTACCTTTCGTAGAAGAAAGACAGAACAACGGTGACACGTTTCAACGAATAATCCAGAAAATCTGTAAATCACGCGAAACCGGAAGTCCTCCGTGTGGTTCCACGGAGGATTACGTTTCTGGTGATAATTTATAGAAGAGCATGTACACGCGCGGTCTCGGGTCAGGTTTCACGGAAAGGCAAGATATGTCAACAGACAAACACACACGTTGCAAGGTGGCTAGACCAGTTGCCATCGTGGAACTGGATCGGTGTGTGGCAGGCTCTGTTACCCGCTGGGAATCGGTTGGAATCGCAGCTGTATATACCTTAACGTACAACTCCCTCGTAGTCATCGTGGTCGGTCCAGGTGGGCCTGGGTCAGGTCAGGTACGAGCGGAGAGGTGAGCAGCAGCTACAGGCGATACACACACACACTCACACGGTACTTCACGCACACCACACGCACCGCACACCTGAGCGCACAGATAACGAGTACCTACGACATTTGTCGTCGAATCGTGCACGGCTACGAGCACCGCGAGCCTCCCTCGATTCTACAGTACATCCTGGTGTCAACCGAACACGCGCGGTCACGGCATGTTTCTGTTATTATTTTTATTTCTTTTTTTCTGTTCCTTCTTCTCGTTCCTCCTTTCTCTTCCCTCTTGTGTACCTTGTCTCCCTCTACACGTACAACCCGAGCGAGGATCACCGAGGATCTAGGGAACCACCGACTCGACGATAAAGATCGCGACACACACCACCTCTCTCTACGACACCTTCCAATCCGTTGTTCGTTTCGACCAGAACGATTTTCGGTACCGCTCGACCCTCCAAATCATCGACCGTAGATGGCCCACCGGGAAATGGATTTTCGCAAAGGTCGTACCTTCACGTAAACGTCGTACGACGGCACTGCCACCAGCTGGTTCGTTATCGGGTTTAGATTCGGCGCCCCTCTTCGCCTACACGCCCGACCACTCTTCGTCTCTCCTCGCGGCGACATGGCCCCGTTCTGTCCTCGTTCCTCCAGCCACTGACGCGTCTACCTGTTTCCCTCGAATGATCGAACCTCGAGTTCCACGCCATCTCACAGTGGAATCGGAAAACGCTCCGTTCAAACCAGTCCTCGCGACGGATTTCTCTCGGATAAATTGGTATCGGTTCGATCCAACCGTGATCTTTTCACTGGACAGTAGATTATGTATTCGAACGTCTGACTGTCTATCGAAGACGGTCCTATGTCACTGCGACGATTTCGATCTAACCTGTCAAGCATATCTTTCGCGGTAATACAAAATTGACAATGAGTCTGTATCTTCCGTTGTGAATCTTGAATTATATGTTGATACTGATTACATACATTGTTGTTGAAAAATAATTGTACGTTTTTCGAAAGAATGTCAGACGAGAGAGGCGTTATCGGGCCGAGTTACGAGGTAACGTCAGTTTCCAGTAGTTATCAATGGTTTGCTCCTACGATACGTTATCGGCACTGTCGATAACGATCCGCGAATGTCGACAGAAATTAGTCGAGGAAATAACGTATGTGGTATTGTAATAATAACGAGTGTAGCGAGAATAAATGAAGTATATCCTAGAAAAATATTTCATTAAAAGAAAAACAAAAGCTACGATCGCGGTTCCTTCGAATTCCAACGTCAAATGGAACTGTCATACGTATTTGCTTATCAATCCCAGTGACACCGTTAACCGTAGATTCAGTGATAAATCCCGAACGAAGACGTAGCGAGAATTAATCTCAGTTGTAGTTAGCAGTAGCAGACAGACAAATCGGATCATGGCGTTCTTCCAATTAGCTATGAAAGCCAGGAAGCTGGAAAAAGCAAGGCTAAAGTACGAGGATGAAAAATTCCGATCGATCGAGATCTCAGAGGGTGCCAAGCCTCGGTACACACTGAAGCAACGGATCCGTAGACAGAAATTACGGTGAGATACGAAATCTCCTTTGCTGGAAAATTTCCACTCGAAACTTTCATTGTAAATTTCAGTATCAGTCACTTGGTTATATATCAGTATCGATCAATCACCCGCTATATTTTATCAAATTTCTTCCAACAATAATCCAATAAGAGAAACGTACACTTTTGCGCAAGGATCCAGAGGAAATTGTCTTTTAAAATGATAGATTACTAATTGGTAATCTTTGGACAGCCTCAAGAGAAAGGTTAAAAGCATCTTCAAGAAGATCTTCACGATTCCAAGAGGATCTTGGCTCTTCAGAAAGATCGTCGAGGTGCGAACCGAGGGTACAATGGAGAATTATGTCGTGAAAAGTTTTCTGGGATTCGTCGGTGGAATATTCCTCACGTACATCTTCTTCGGTTTCTTCGTTCTTCAGCTCGATTTTAGGCTCTCTTCGGCAACGTACCTCTGCAGCGTAATAGGGGTGATTTTAACCCTCGGTCTGGCGTTCTCGCCGCGGATACGGTAAGGGGAATGGTATGAGAGTCTTCTCCTCAAACGTCTCGCACTTTAAGTCCCATTCTCACGTTTCCTCGCAGTTGCATAGTGTTCCTGTTATTACCCCAATTTTTCTCGAAGCGGGGACGCCAAGGGCTGGTCGCGTACGCTTTTATTTTAGCGTTAACCGGGCCGGTGAAGAACACTCTGCACAACACCGGCGTTCTTTCGGAGTCACTGGCCTGTGCGCAGGTACGTCTATCATTTTCCATCGTCGAGTAGTCACCTCATTCACGATCACCGAACGTTGACTCGCTGATTATACGTATGTACGCTCGTACGAGCCGACTGATTCGATCGATCTCGTCGTCACCAATTTGCTTTTCCAGGAACAATTGAAAGAGGCGGTGAAAACCGTCGTGGATCTAGCGAAGCAACCGTTCTACGCCCTGCGTGACGCGATATCGAAAGTCATAAAGTCGGTCAAAGCTGTCGTGAAAAGAATCAAACAGACACTGCTCGCGATCAAGAGGATCGTTCTCAGTATACGTGAGCATTAAACTCGAATGTCACGTGAACATGATTAAAGGACCAGAGTGGCTAATTTAACGATTCTTCGTGTTTCAGTCAGAGTCATCACTTCGGTGTTCCAGTGGCTGGGGAGTATAGTAAACATATGTAATAAGAAATTAGGCACTCCCTTCGACAGGTGCCAGAACGTCTTCGAGGGTGCAGTGGCGGATTGCAAAGCGAAACTGGGTCCTTATTTAGGAGTCGTTTGTAATGTAACATACGTTGTCAGTGCTCTTTGCTACATAGTGAAGCCGTTGGACTTCATTTGCATGCTAGTTACTTATATAGCTGACTCTGTAGTTGGCGTCGTTAAACGCAGTAAGTTCAGAGAAAACTCTATCCAATCACTTCTCTTCGATTTCGATTTATCCTTACGATTTGCAGAGATTAAAAGGTTCACGATGCATATGAAGGCGATGTTTTACGTCAAAGTCAAGTTCTCCCATTCGTTTCACTTCGAGACGAACCAAAGCAGAACGATAAAGGACGTCTCCGCTAATATATCAACCGAGATACGATCAAGAACCGACGAGTTATTCGGTTTCTTCAACTCGATAAGCTTCCTCACATCTCTTTTTACCTTTATTATTGTGCTCAGGTACTGAACGAAATTAATTGCTAATCATACTGTTCCCTCTTCCATTCAGAAAGACCGTTTTATATAATATATTTAATATATTTCCAGAGTAATGCGTTACCGTTTCAAATGGCTGACCAGCGAGCGCTTCGACAATCGGTACATAACAAACGATCTGCGCACCATAGACATAATAAGAGCACGTCAGGACAAAGAAACTGTTCTGCCGCTTAATCCACGGGAGAGAAGCAGATACGTGCCCCTGTCCTCTGTCATGTTAGTGAAATCCGAAAGGACCAAGTTGGCGAGATCCGCGGTGTTTTTGTGTCTGGCCACGATCAAGCTCCTCGCCTATATGGCGATAGATTACAGTCTCTACTGGGTGCTGAACATCATTCAGATCCACGGTCGATTTCAAAGTAAGGTAAATTAATCCACGATGATCAGCTTGTTAATCAATCTACAATAAGGAAAGCATACAAACGATCCTCTAGGTGGAGAAACCAACCGTGGTGACTGTTCACGTTGCCGGCGAAGGATATCTGTCTGATCTCTACAGAAGTATTGTGAGAGCGTTCACACCTCATGGAAAAGAGTCGGAAATCAATACGATGCTTTGCCTACCGGACCCCGTGCCACCTGATCTCGACAAATACATTCAGATCGTCGCTTTGATTATCCTCTTCTGGTTGGTCGCAGTCTTCGAACCGTACGGTCTGCGACTGAGGCACGTGGTTCTTTGTCAGTATTATCCTGACAGGGCGAAACAGAGGGCTGCCTGGTTGTACAATCACATTATCAGGTGGTAGAACTTATATCAGACGATTAGAATGGAAATAGTATATTGATCGATGATGTGAACAGATCGAGAGGAAGCTTCCTGAAGTTCGCCAGACGTCAGTTACGTCGAAAGTTCGGCCTGGCAGGAGGACAAACGATCGAGAAAGTCACATTGCAGGACAGACTCTGGGCGACATGCCCCTTCCTGAACGTCTTCTTCCCGCGAAAGCAGAAAATGTGCTTGTTGTGTGGCGCACCGGAACATTCCGACGATAACCCGCACATAAAATGCCCGACCCCCGGCTGCGTGGGCTTGTTCTGCCCGCAGTGTTTCGCGGATCTGCAAAACTTGTGCACTATTTGTCGATCGCCGATAGATTACGGTGACATATCCGACATCAGCGAGGAGAAGTGAGTCGATTGATACTGATCTACATTCGCAGGGATTTAATTTATTTAAGATTTCTGTTAGAGACTCGTCTGAAGATGGATATCCAGTGGTGAAGGCAAAACCTGAAGTACCTATAGAAGTAAGTGAGGTAGACGTAGAGGAACCGAAAGTGAAAGAGAAAGAGGAAAAGATAGAGGAAGAAGAAGAAGCAGAAGAAGAAGAAAAGGGTGAAGAAACAGACGAAGTGGGAGAAACAGAAGAAGAAACGGGAGAAACTGAAGAAGAAGTGGAAGAACCCGAAGATGAGACCAAAGCGCTGCTGAAAAAAGTACCAAAAAAGGAGGCAAAAAGAAAGGTAAAAAAGAAAGTAGCCAAAAAGACAGAAGAAAAGAAAGTGGCGAAGGTAAAAGAACAAAAGCCAGCAGTAGTTGAAGTACCAGAAGTAGAAAAGGATACATATCAGCAGACAGAAGAGAAATTCATCGAAGACTCTGACGCCGATAGTTACAGTAAGAATCCGCCAAACAGTATCCTCTAATTCCCTGAAACTAACGATTTAATTATGTCAGCATATCAGGAGGAGTCTCCAAGAGAAGTAAAGGTCAAGAAATATAGGGAACCGTTTAAAGACGTCGAAGCTCAACAAATTTGTGACGACGTAACGATCCAAGTACGTTCCAATATTTTCTTATAAAATTCGCTCTCTGCACCGATCGCATAATCCAAGATATTGAACGATCGTGATATCCAGATATTTAACGAACCGTTCGTAAGAGAAATATCCTCGAGCAGCGAGTCTTGTTTCGTGGTGAGGGCACGTAGGAAGATTCGTTCCAGATTGAAAAAGAAACCAGCGTCTGACGGGAAGGATTCCGATTCATCATGTTCGATAGCCGACACGGAGTCTTGGTCGAGCGAGGAGGTCGACGAGGAGGAAGTCATACACATAGAAGTGGACGATGACTGCGAAGAATTACTAGGGAAGGATCGAAGGGATAAGGAGAAACGGGGTCGTATAAATAAAATCGTCGGCGCGGTCGCGAGAATTCCTTGGCAAATTCATATTTTGTTATATCATACCTTCATCGTTATTTTAATTCTTTTGCTCATGCTGTAACAAATAAAAATTTCAGAAATATTTTATAAGTTATCGATTTAATGTGTGAAATACAGGATGATAGCAAAGCTTGCCGTTCACTGGAAACGAAACGACCGTCTCTGATGAATAAGATCGTCAGCATGCTTCAAAGGAAGCAAACGGTGCCGATACAGACGTATAAAAGAAGCAAGAAGATAAAAGGCTCTTCGTCGTCCTCCTCGTGCTCGTGCGAAGACGAAAGTAGGGCTTTCTTGAAAGACGGAGGCAGATCGCCCGATGCCAGGCATCTTCCGAGAAGAAGAATTCGAAAGACAGAGACGGACGACGAGTCCGATGAAATGGAAAACATCGATTTTAAGCATCCGCGTGAAAAGCAATTCACTACGAAACAATTACCAAAGTATATACATAAAGGATTCAATAATAGTTCCATTATATTTAATGTGACCAACACATACTAGGTATTTGGAGTCAACCGCAAAATGCACGTCATATTTCGAAGTAGACGAAACGGAGGATTCTAGATCCGCGCGAAAATGCGTCCGACAAGTGGAGGATGTCAACGAATTGTCAGGCGTAAAGGCGGCCGCGGATCGAAGGAAGAGAGACACTTGGAATATAACAGAGGACGACGAATTTATGGTAATATCGTACGTTCGTTTCTGGAACCGATTACACACAAATTTACACACAAAAAACCTTATGGGAAATTTGATTTCATTGTCAGCCTCCTTGCTCTTGCACGTCAGACCTGACGTACGATACGATCGAGGATAGAGGTCTTAGAACGATGGGAACGAGTGCCACATCGGAACACACGGATACTTCGAAGACAATCACGGAAACGGAGACGGACGAAGCTTCATTGGTGACTGAAAGTGACACAGAACACACGGAGGAAACGAAATCGTCGACAAGTGTGGAAAAAGAAGACTCAAAGGACGTATTTGATGATTCTTCCGAGTACGAAGAATCGAAGGATTCAGGAGAAGAGACGACAGAGATAAGTGAAGATACTCAGGAAGAAGTGCCTAGGAAGAAGGGTAAGCAGGTGAAGGCTCGTAAGGAGACTAGAAAAGTACTGAAAAAGTCTGAAGTATCAACTGGAGATGTTACCGTACCTACGAGAGAAATCACGGATCGAGTAAGGCCCCTGAAACAAACTGTGCAACCTTCTGGGCCCGCTCCGATGCACGATGCTTTGGCTGGCTTGGAAGTGTATGATGTTGATTATAAATCGAGAAGGGAACCGCAACGTGAACGACAAGCGGGTGGTGGAGACGAGGAATTTGTCGAGGAGAAGCCTGATGAGCCTAAAGTAGAAGATTTAAAAGAGGAAAAAGAGAGGAAAGGTTCTAGGGGTCAGAATCCAAAAAAGAAGTCTACAAAAAGTGGTGATAAGAGAAGAAAAATGGCGGAACAGCTTAAAGGATTTTATTCGAAAGCGATACCTCGAAAATCCGACAAGAAACGAGAAATAGACGAAGTACCTGATCCAAGGAAATCAGAAAAAAAGTCTACGAAAAGTGGTGCCAAGACAAGAAAAATGGCTGAACAGCTTAAAGGATTGTATTCTAAAGCGATACCTGGAAAATCTGATAAGAAACGAGAAATGGACGAAGTACCTGATCCAAGAAAATCAGAAGAAAAGTCTACGAAAAGTGGTGCCAAGACAGGAAAGATGGCTGAAAGACTTAAAGAATTTTACTTAAAAACGGTGCCTACGAAATCTGATAAAAAGGGAGAGGATGATAAAGAGTCAGCAGTAGAAGGATTAAAACGAAAGTCTGTGGACGATAGTAACAAAGACAAAGATAGGGTTGAACAATCTGAGGTGCAAGAACCTAAAGTAGAACATAGAACATCTCAAGGAACATCTATAGAAGACAGTAACAAAGAAGAAGAGAGGGTTGAACAATCTGAGGGTCAGGATCCAAAGGAAAAACATAGAACATCTCAAGATAAGATGGAGGAAAAGAAGAAAAAATCAAAGGATTCGATAGGAGAATCTGTAGAAGATACTGATACAACGAATGAGAAGGTTCAGAAATCTGAGTTAGAGGACTCAAAGGAACAACCCACTGAAGATGATATTGCAAAACAGAGAGTAACCATTGATTCCAAAGCGGGTAGATCGAAGATAGACAAAGCGACGGATTTACCTGATAGAAATAAACGTACTCAGACAAAATCCCCTAAACGTGATAAAAAGAAGAAGATTATTGAACCAGATATTAAAGTTCCACACACTGAGGATTCTGGAAAGGAAAGTAGAAAGAAGAGGAAGTGTCTCGAGAAGAAGGAGCGCAAGACAAGGTACTAAAAGCCAAACTATAATTAAGATTGTAAAATTTATAAAAATTTATCCTTTTCAGACACAAAGAAGACGATCACAAATCTTCTAAACGAAAGCGGCGTTGCTTAGAGAAACATGGAAGGAAGTACAAAATCGAGTAAAGTCAATTTTTACTTAAACATATGTACATGTAGAATTTTGAACAAAGTGAAAGAAAATTAATTGTTACAAATACAGAGAGCAGTACGACGAAGAAGGATCACCTAGAACATCCAGACGGAAGTGTTCAAAGGACAGAAGGGACAAATCTTGTCAGTGCAGTGACGACGAGTCACAGACCCATCCAAGACATTTTATAGAACATTCTGAATATCCTTGTAGAATGGACCATTATCACGAACAAGTTTTTCGACCGCCAATCGCCCATGAAAGGTGCTCATTCATTATTGAAACTAACAATATCCCAGTTATGATTTACATTACTAAAATATCATATTTCAGGCCTTGTCACTGTCATCCGCGAAACTGTGAGGTCCACACTTGTCAAAGACCCTATCCTGAACCTCGTAGCGAAGTCTGTGAACCATCGATGGTTCGTCGAGAAGTAATCGAACAAAGGTTCGAAATGCCCATAGTGAAGAAATATCTGCCCATGTATCAGAGCCCAGGATTGATAGAGGAATTGAAGGCACACGATCGAATGAGGTTAATTCGTGAGAGGGAGGCCATGGAACGCAGAATCATGAGTCCTTCTCGGTCTCCTGATTCTATTTCGGTTCGTTCTAAAGGTGGATCTAGGAGAATCGCCATGTGTCGTCCTCCAATGACCGTAAGTGTAAAAATGTACTAATAAACTATATATAAAAGTTTATTGCAAAACTGTTTCGTTTCAAGCGCAAGTCAACCAATAAAGATGACAGGTTGGCGTACCAAGAGACACAAGCCTTTAAAAATGTGCTACATGAATTGCAAAGAACGTGTCACAAGAAACCTGAGGACAACCTACCATTGATACATTTATCGAAGAAAGCGGATAGAACGAAGCAAGTGAAACAGTTATATCCTCCTCAGAAAAAATCTGATAAGGCGAGGAGGATTGCTGGCAGAATAATTAAAACGTTCAAGGTAAACGTAAGATTAAGTATAGAAAAATCACTTATCGTATTAACTAACATTTACGTGTAGCCAGCCGTATGTAAAAGGCACAAGTACAAGAGGAACAGAGGGGATTTATCGTTTAAACAAATGGATTATTCTTTTGAACCAGAAATAATGAGCAACGTGTCTTGCCATTGCTCTTCTGCTGATGAAACAACAGATAATAATTAATCTACGTAATAAACAGGTAAAAGTGTTTAGTACTTTCTTCAATGTTAGTCTTATGTGTGTAAAGTGAAATTGACTCTAAACCCCTGTCAATTATAATTCATACGTCGATTGTTTTAAATCTGTAATCCCATCAAAATGTATAACCTCTAGAGTAAAAGTGTAAAATTTCACAATTACATGTTCGAGATGAGAATAAATTAAGTTTACGTATTCAATACTTCCCACGATGTTTCAATATGCATTACAAATTATTAATGCAGAAGTGGTTAAAGTTGTAGTCATCGTGGGCATATGAAATTTAAATATCGTAATTTCGGATTTCGAGCATTGGCGATGTCGACGACAACACAAAAGGGTTCGAGTATTTGTATTCTAGAGGATTCCTTCCCAACAGGAAAGGGAGTGAATTCCAGAGGCGGCATAAAGTTCAACAAAGACAGAAAGAAAAGAAAAAAGTAGAAACGTATCCTTCAAATAGCTTGTCAATTTTTCTAAAGCTAAAATGGTACTCGGAACTCTGTTCGGTCCCAAAACACCAAAATCTGATCAACCGGAGGACTCCTTAGACATAAAGAAAGACTCGCTGTTTTCACCGGAAGAAACAGAACAATCTCCAAAAGTGAATAACACCAGCATAGTCTATCCATTTCACGATGTAAAAGCTACCAGTTTTCCTCCTCCACTTTCCATCGATGCATCCGTGTACACCGACGCTGAAAATCAAGTCGAAGAACAGACTGACACTGCAACAGAACGATCTCCAGTCAGCAATAATATCAAAAACATTAAAGAAGACGTGAAAGATGACGAGAAAAAGGAAAATTCCCTTAAAAAGCATGGCGAAGAAACGAAACCCAAGATCAGCCACGACAGGCTAAAGGAAGTGATCAACGCATCGATCAAGGAAGCAGTGCAAATTATCGCGAAGCAATGTAGAATGGTATCTAAGAAGCAAGTATCGAAGATACTTGGGGTCTCAAATCTCGATTCCCTTTTTCATCGATTCATTTTAATTATACTTATTTCGTCTTAGTAGCACAGTCTATTGTTTCTAGAAACCAAATGACGAGGAAAAGTCATCGGGAAAGAAGCCGAAAGAAACTCTGGCTAAAGCAATCTGGCACACCAAGGAAGGCGTTCTTGGGAAAAGCAAACACGAGACTCGGCCACGTTCCACCGAAGAATACTTCAGCAATCGATCAAGGCTCCCAAAGAACGCTTACAAGTCGAACTGTCCTCAAGAGAAGCGCAATATCGTTCGCACCTGTCCGAATAAGTTACAAGACGAGATCACCAAGTGCCTTTGTAAGAAAGGACCGGTGTGCGAGGATGCTAAAGACAAGAAACACTCGAAACAAGCCAGCAGTGGTAAGACTGACAATCGTCGGATGACGGGGAACGTGAACATTTATATTTGCTCGGAAGCTACAGAGAATCCTCAAGTAATTTCACTGATTCACTAGATATTCTTTAATGTTATCATATAGAGTACCAAAATTTCACCTGTTTCATTGACTCTTGTCGATTTCGTAACGAAGACATTCGATACTTTTTCAGCTGGCGTACAAGCAAAACAAGCCGCAGTCGTGCGCGGAATCGAGCTCAGAAACAACAACGGAACCGTCGCCCGTCTCATCGTGCAAGCTCGTCAATTGTATCCGCAACAAACGGCAGAAATACAAGGAGAAGGACTCGTTCGACTTCCTGCAGAGCACTGAAGAAAGCAGCGATAGTAATCCATTCAGCTGCGTTTCCTCGAACATCGGGACCAATTCGGAGAGCAGTGGTTTCATCGATATCTGCGCACAGGACACCGAATCCACTTCCACCGAGTGTCGATGCAAAGACGATCAAGTGATATCTGATCAATCTATCGGCAAATCGAAGTTCGTCATATGCGATAAAGCGGAGAGACCTTGCTCCACGATCTATCCGAAAAAAGTGTCGTTGGACAGTGACAGCGAGGGATGGTCGTCGAAATCAGTTTGCAGCGACAGTAGAGAAACTGAGCCGTGCAATCAGGCTAACGGAGACGGTTGGCCTTTCGAACCTAAATTTGGTTACTATACGAAGAGTTTGAAACGGGACCGCGATCCTGGGAAAGACAGTTGTAGAATATGTTCCAAGAACGATGTTTGCAGGTGTCAAAGTAATGCACGAAGTAAGAGAAGGTCTTATAAGTCCACGGATAGAGAACAATGGTCGACCTGCAGTTGTATCGTGGAGGAAGATGAGGAGGATGGAGTTTGCGTTAACGTTAAAGATTCACCGAAATCTACGGTCGATCTGAAGCCAACAGGCACTCAGGAAGGAGTAACTGTTGACCAGAAAGATACAGAAAAGGAATTAGAAAAAATAGCTTCGGCGGTTAAAGAAGACGGTGCAGAGAAAGAGACTATTCAGGAACAGAAAGATGATGACCTGGTCGCAAAACCAAGTTCACTTATATCCGGAAAATTGATAAGACCCGAAACTCTAACACTTAAATTATTGTTGAAACAATACGGTACACCACCTGCGCAAAGTCTCGAGCAGAAAAGTATTATCCCTGATCTGGCAAAGACGACTGATACAGGACTATCGACCAACGACACGCCTGTCGCGCAAACAGAGGAGAAAAAGGAGCCGGCTTATCGAAAGAAATTCAATCTCCGTGAACAGCATAGATTTATGAAGCACCTGACTTCCGAACAGTTCGAGAAGCCTCGAGAACCAATCGAAGAAACCAAACAAGTAGATCAGGCGGAAGAGAAGAAAACGGAAGAAAATGAGAATGAAAAGGATACGGAGCAGAGAATGAGCCTCCCAGGAAGACTGAGAACCTCGATATTTAAAACTTTGAAGAGAGTCGCGGGCAAGGAGAACTATAAGATCTCTGAGAAGGTTTCTGACAACGATGCCGACCGAGAAACTGTGAACGCTGAAGGAAATATTGATACAGATCAGCCGGTAAAGTCTGAAGCTAACCTGCAGGAAACTCAAAAGGAGAAAAGAATATCTTTCGCGCAGAAACTGGATATAAATAAGTTCTTTAAGAGGAAAGACAAAACTTCCGTAAGTGATACGAACCAGATAGTACCAAAGAAAAAAGGTAAGAAAACTAGTGTGACTGATGCAGCAGCAAATTTGGATACAGAGTCTGAAAGTAAAGACGACACGAAGAAAGGTGAAGAAGAGAAGAAAGAGGAACTACCTGTCGAGGACGCTGAAGCGGAGCAGGATAATTCGAAGCTGTTAACAGATACGACTAGCAGTAAACCAGACCTTACATTAACTCCAGATACTACTGTTGAAGGAACAGATCCCACGAACTCCCAAGAGCTTCCAAAAACGTCGACCACTGAAGTCATTACGAAAAAGAGCAGTCCTCCAGAAGTTCAGGAAGAGTCAAACGATCAAAAGTCAACTGGTGATCAAGAACAGAAGCATATAGAGTTCGAGAAACCTAAAATAACAGATAAAGAACCTCCGAAAGTGACAGAGACCGAAGTGGGTACAAACGTGCAGAAGGTCTCGACATGTATGTGTATTCGATGCGCTCGTAAAAAAAAATCTGCAATTTCTCAGAACGTTTCTCGGGAATCAGAACCATCGTACACGGTCTGTACAAGCGAGAATTTCGGGCCAGAAGAACGAATCGAAGGATGCAAATGCAATTGTTGTACCTTGCAAACTCCTCAAAGTTGCAACAGACTCACCAGTTATCCGAAAAGTTGCCTGAAAAAGGAAAGGCAGTTTTGTCGAATGGAAACTCAGGAGAACAATTGCTCAGTTTTCCAGCACGATAACAGAAGCTGGGAAGAATGTGGTTGCAGAAGAATGATTCCTTGCGAAAATTGTTGCAGGCCAAGGAATGAATGCAGGTACGAATGATTACTGATCCTAAAACCCATTAACACGTTGCCTTACGATTTTTTTGACGGCTGTACTTTTAAGCATTACTTTATCGTTAATAATTTCCTAGATACAAAAGGAATTTTATTCTTAGGGCAAGTGTATTATTTAGTCTAAGTCTTAAATATTAATACCAGTCAAACAGAATTTCACTTCGACTCAAAGAAAATGAATGCTATACATATTTATTAAATTCAGTTTGAAATCGTCAACACATGTCTGACTCGATGTTATAAGGCAAGGGGTTAACGTTCGTTCAATTTCTCACTGCATAGAGTAATTGCAATTGTACGGAAAAAAGTGGGTTTTGCACTATATTAGAAGAAACAAATTGGACTCTAGCTCACCCTTCCCAGAGGAAAAAATTACATTACCTCCCCCTGACTACGCCCTTGTAATTGCATGTTATCTTTACAGTTGCAGACCAGTGACTGTCTGCGTGACCTGTTGCAAGTCGAAGAACGAGTGCATCTGCAAAGCAGTTTGCGCCTCGAGGAGCGTCTGTGGTTGCTTGAAATCGATGGTTTGTCTATACTGCGACCATCCACGTGACAGATGCTTGTGCAGGTCACCGGCACAAAAGTGCTCGTGCTGCGAGCAGCCCGTGGATGTGTGCCTGTGCGAGGACCGGAAGACTTTTTCCGAGGGTAGACCGGTCCTGACTGAGCCCGATAACGATCGCACCATGTACGTAACCGCGTGGAAGCCACGGGAGGACGTGAGACGTTACTTCGCCAGAAATCTGGAGGATCATCGACGGAATTCTATCAACGAGTGCCGCTGCCACGAGAAGCTCAAGTCACAGAACTCCGATGACCTCCCTTATCAGCGGCTGAGTTGCTTCTCGGACGTGATGAACGAGTTACAGCAGAAGATGAGCGAGTCGGTGTGCTGTACACAGTGCGGGAAGATCCCCTGTTGTTGTAACAACATCAAGGTCGACGAGGGAATAGACGAGAGGAAGATAAAGTATTGCGTCAGGTAGACACGATCTCTTCACACTTTCGCGATGACATTCAGAACCGATTCCTTCGAGAATTTCCCGATGGTTTTACCGTTACAGCCCGAAAACACGACGGAAGGTTGTGGCTGTGTGCGTGGAGAAACCCAGAAGCAAATCCCCAACGGTCTGCAAGTGCGAGCCTCAGACGAGAACCGAGAGACAGAAGAAGATAGTAGTCTGTTGCCTTTGCAAATCGTTACCGTGCAGATGCAAAAGGTCAAAGTCGAGGGACAAGAAACCAAAAATGAAGTGTTACTACTGCAAGAACTCGCCCTGCGTGTAAGTGTGTAACAAAGATCGCGAAGCGAAAGGGTAAACAGCGTGATTGCTAGAAATAGGTAGAGTAAAAAAAAAAACAAAGAACATTGATGAAACGGCTGCGTTAATGAGAGCACCTTCTCTCGTTAATTGACCCGATCGTAAGATCTGGTACTTCGAGTCGTTGATTTTTTATTACATTCCCTGCTACAGCTGCGCTACAGCGCGAGAACGCGGCAAGCCGAGGCTGTGCAGGTGTGCTGATTCACCTTGCCGCACGAAAGAAAAGGAAATCGCGCCGTGTGGAAAAACATCCACGAAACCGAAGAACAACGAGGAAAAGATCATTTGTGTCCGTTAACCGTAGACACCTGTGACTATTCCCCTCTAGGAACATACGTGCATAATATATCGTCGACTTGGGATCAATCAAGATTTTTTCAGCGGGAAGAAAAGAACTTAAATGAAAGGGAACTCGTGACTTCAGTCGTAAAATACGTATTTTGTTAATTGTACTTGCTCATGTAGAAATGTTACAGATATGTCTAAATGTTTCCGTCGTTAAATGTAGCTCTGATAACGATATTCGTGCAGACAACAGTGTTGCTCTAATAGATCGATCATGTAAGTTCTATGTACGTAGAGAAGCGAATTCGAAAAACAAGACACCTCGATGTTCGTCGTTTCGAATGTTTTTCTGACAGGATACGACGTCGATTGATACGAAACAACAAGAGCGGTGTTTCCTTGTATCATGTGACGCCTGCGAGCGACAAACAAGTGTGACGATAAGGGATCTCAGAATCCCGAAAAACGAGAATAAAAACGAACCAATATCGTACCACTATTTCTCCCGCGATAACACAACCACATATTCGGAACACGGGTCAACGCGCGGTATTACGAAAAAATTACGACGATTACTTGTTTACGTCTTCTCGCTCGAACCCAAACATCGCGTGGCCATTACAAGTTTTATTCAATGTCACAGATTAACTCTCGATTCCGATAATCGCGTAATTACGAGGGTCAACCCCTTGTCGTTCGACTCACAGGGAAAAAAAGCACCGATAACGGTGACCATGAAAATAATTGCTCTAAAAAAAAAAAATAAAAAGAAGTCGGTTCGCGGGACGGTGCACAAAAATATTTCAAACTCTGCTTAAGAGACTCGTCTCGGGAGTAGGGGGTATCTTAGGCCTCGTATAAGACGCTGTCTCCCCTGTTTTACTAGACCGGTACGAGCCGTAGACCGGCAACGTGTTCCTCCATCGTTAAACGTGCGTTCGCTTTCAAACAACTCCACGCGTTCCGTCGTTAGAGACTCGCGAACGAAACCGAATCGAAACGCGAATCGGCGAACGTTTCTTCCATCCTTTCGTGCCCGTCGATCCTTCGCTCTGTTGCGAAACTTTTATCCGAGTGTCCGTGAGACATCGTTGTTCAAAGAAGGTATTCAAGACCAAGAGGAACGATAACTGAGTGAGAAACTGCACGAAAAATGCAAGCCTACCCCGAGGATCATGGATTACATCGTGTTCCTGACGACAAACTCTACAACGGAACGAACAACACTAGCGAAGGAAAGAAACCCTTGACGCTTCGCGAGCTCATCGATGCTCTGCACAAAGCTTTCGAGACCGACCACGTGAGCATCGACCATGTTCAGGAGCTTATGGTGTCATACAGGAGTAACCCTTCTGAATGGAAGAAATACGCAAAGTTCGATAGATACAGGTAAAATCGCGTATATAAGAAGCATAACGAAAAGTAATCCAGTTTCATCCATTACAGTTGGTATTTAGAAAGTCGATGAACTCGAATCGCCCTCGCACCCTGACCGAATACAAACACAATGGTATCGATGCTTCTTCGGTTCTCTGATCGTTAGAATCCCTTTTACGTTCGCGAAGAATCGAATCTTCTCGGCAAATGTTTTTATCGGTCTCGGTGCAAATAGACCGCGTACAACTACGCCGGAATTGTGCAATAAGATTAATACCAACGAGGTTCACGGTGGGTTATCGCTGGTGTTACCGTTTCCCCCAACCCCGGCCGTCTCTTATAAATTTTCTGCGACCATTCGCGAAACGATCGGTGGGCCCTCGAATGAAATGGGAAATTTTAACAAGCTCGCTCGGCTAAACGATCCCCGGAAAAAGAATCGTTTGAAGTATCAACAAGCTTATCGATGGGCAGACAGTAAAAATACAGTACGATACACGCGCGTAATGTGCACGCAACGATCCGCTCGTAGATGAACGAACGATGACAGAGAGGGTTCCAGAATTGTCTCGCGAAGATGCGAATAACGACTTGTACGATAAAATTTATTTAACACGTCTCTGTTTACGCGTAACAGAAGGAAAAATACAAGCAGAATGTCTTGTGACAACAATTTTCATTCGTGGATATTAATTTATTTCGATATATTTTTTTATTAGGGGACATTCAAATGAGTTTTCCTGAATAAACGTTCCGTTTCGATGGAGAATTCTTTTACGAATTACAAAGACACCTGTCTAGAACGTAATGTGGGATTATGGAACGTAATTGCCGACTCGACCGATTTCCACACGACACGCGAAAGTATAGAGGCCGTAGCTCGTGCATTCGCTACTTCTGCATAAAGTGGAACAGACTGTAGCAACCGGAAGAGAGGATATTTATTTAACACGCAAAAATTAATAAACCTTTGACCGAAGTCTGTTATCATTCCGTGTGACTACGCATACGTCGTTCTACGAAGTACATGCGATGAAGACACTATCGTTAATATTGTCGACGATTTAGAAGAGAAAATTAGCTTCCCTTCTCGTTCGTTATACGGCCGTCGATCCGTGACGAGAAAGAAATGACCGAAATGGTTCGACATCGTTGCAATCTGAGTCTAAGTATGCGGAACACTTCAAAGTCTATCTATCTGTGTTGCACGCAAATAAGTGGTGTTTGTTCGGTGAACGGCTGGTTACACACACTTTCCACGTATGCCCCCCTTCCTCACCCCACTTTCATTACACTTGAGCCAGAACATCAGTTCTTTGACACGCGACACTTATCCGATCGAAAGCAATGATCGACAAGAATTTTTTTCACACGACCCAATACGAAAGCTTTAAAAATATTTGCAGGGATCGTTGCGTTTTACTTCTCGTACACGACAAAAGGATATTTAAAGCATTCTATTACCATGGTTGAGAATTAATCGTCCTTCCATTACGGATACCAGTTAATTATATCCTTCGGTGCGATCCAATGCAATTCGCCATTGCGTTACTCATTCCACTTAAACGAAGATAAAGACTGTTAAATAAGGAAGTAAATGAATCATTGTGCATCCAGATACACTAGAAACTTGGTCGACGAGGGAAACAGAAGGTTCAATCTCATGGTGTTGTGTTGGGGGGAAGGCCATGGATCAGCCATACACGATCACGCGAATGCCCATTGTGTGATGAAAATTCTGCAGGGTGAACTTTGCGAGGTATCGAAAGATTCCTTTTGTTCCTCAAAATAATGGTTAATGGACCATTTTCTAAAGCAGTTCTATTTTATAGACGCGATATGCGTGGCCCACGAAAAGTGAGACCAACGATCGAACAAACGAACCGGAAGAACTGAAGGAATTGGAGAAAAATACTCTTGAACTCAATGAAATATGCTACATCAATGGTATAACGTTTGAACTAACTACTAAAAATTCGGAAATACTTCGTTCTAACTTCACTTTACCGATTTCGTAGACTCGATGGGACTTCATCGTGTCGAAAATCCAAGCACCGTAAATCCTGCTGTGTCTTTGCACTTGTACTCGCCGCCATTTTCTTCTTGCTCAGTCTTTAATAAACAGACTGGCCAAAGGACAGCGTGTAACGTGACTTTCTGGTCCAAGTACGGGGAGAAGAGAAACCGAGTAAGATTCTCGTTATAGTTTCCACCTAAAGAAAAAAAGATGAATCAGAATGACGAGGCAGCTACTTTTTCTTTTATATTTGCAGGAAATCCAAAACGACCGGCATCCCGAAGACAATTAATGCATCAAAGATAACGTTCGTTACGACTGCAATTTTATAAAACACTTTTATTGAGATAAGCGATGCGAATTTTATAATTCAGACGGTTTAATGTACAGCTGTATAAAGCCTTTAGTACTTAAATATATTTATATGGACGTTCATGCACTTCTGCGGAATTATGCTCAAATATAACGTTCCTGAAATTTTATTACGTGCCTTGTTATTATAATGTGACTTGAAAATAAAGAATTGGAAATGAAGACATATCGATCGTCGTTAAGTAATTAAAGCACTGTTACCATGTGATTTTGAGAAATCATTCTAAAAGCTTCAGAAATCAAACTAAACCTATACTAATTTATGAGATTCAAATAATGTTGTAAGCTTTTTGTTTAAGAGTACACAAAAATTATTGTTAGTAACACGTTAGCTATATGTTTGTGACTTAAATAAAAACATTTACATTTTATATAAAATAGTGAGTTGATACATATACAGATACAGATAGATATGTATATACATCTATGTATATTTGGCGCGAGATTCTATTGAATTTTCGTCTGCTAGGGACTGCTTGATAATAAATTATTTTTTTATAAAAGTATTTAGTGTAAATAGTGTAATAATATGTATTTGTAAAATATCCTTGGTAAAGATATTATGACAACGTTATCTCACATGCAGCGTGTTAGAATGCTGTATAAAACAATTTTGAGGTTACACCGTGGTTTACCAGTCGAAATTCAAGATTTAGGTAGTAGTTATGTTCGAGATGAATTTAGACGGCATAAAAAGTGTAATGAAACCGAAGCAATTATTTTTCTAAACGAATGGACAGTGAGTAATATTAAATTTTACATTTTAATTTTTCTTTTCAAAAATATAGGTTAAGTTTCATTTAGGTTAGTTCAACTCTCAAACGAAAGCAGTACTTTATTTTTAAGAAGTCATAAAATAATAAAATAAAGGCTCTTTATATTATCTGACAAACATTACTCTTCCTTGTTATAGGATTATGCATTAATGCTTGGTAAACAGCTTGGTTTGAAAGGACCACGTACAGCCAAACCACTGGGTCAAAATTTAAATGAAGAGGATTTTGAAAAATTCAGAGATGAACAAGTATATCAATTGTATGAGTTGATGAATGCAGCAACTGGTAAAACGGACACAAATTCGAAAGATGAATAAAGTCTGGTCAGGATCTTAAATTATGCTGCACTGTATGGTTCCTGAATAATTATTCACTGTATATTATAGATATGTACTATAGAAATTGTAAATGTAATAATTGTAATTACCATGTACATAAACATTGCTGAATATTTTACATACACTTCTGCGTACCCTTGTAGGACTAATCAATGTTCATAGAAATTCTACATAATGATCAATGCATTATATGTATGTACTTAATATTACAGTAAATACAATACTTTGCTGTTAAGGCACTTTTGTGAACATATATATGTATGTAAAACATAATTTTACAAAATTACTAATTTACAATAGTGCTTTAGATTTCATAGAATTCGTGAGATTACATATCAGAAATATAATTTTAAATATAAGTTATTTAGTGAAAAATTATTTTAAACTTAAAAAATTTAAATGTTATCGATAATTGTCCGCTGACTTCATGTAACGTCACTCGTGTTTATTCGTGTCACAGTCAGTCACAGTTTCGTTAATCAGTTGCAAAATCAACTTTTAGAACCATAACCTGAATAACTACTTTCTGTGTACATATAAGTATATAACTTTTTTTTAATATTCTAATCGCAACTGCCATTATTAGAAAAAAATGAAAACCTTTAAAGACTCTGCCAGTTTAATCCTAGCAGCTCGTCAAATGCAAAAATGTGCACGTCCTTCAACTGCTACAAATGTAAGTATAGTAATATCTGAGTTTTACTTGATAATTTGTAAAAAAATTATTTAAACTAGTTCCGTATTAGTCGCAATAAGAAATTTTAATTAAACAGGTATTATAACCAAAATGAAAAAAGTGTTACAATTGATAATTATTAGATGTATACTTTAAACGTCATACATATTTAAATCGTAAGAGGGCGGGAAATTTAAATTCTCTGATGATTATAGAGTTCTGAAGAATTTAGGAAATCATGTATAGTTTCAGTATAATTACAATCTGCTGTGCCTGAAAAGGCATAAAAATTCAAAATTCATGCCCGGTAACTACGTGTTTCCTGGAGGAATAGTGCATCCAGCCGACGCGGATCTCAAATGGAACAATCTGTTCTCCTCGTTCGGCTTCGACAAAAGCAGCTATGCTTCTTTATTTCCAAACACTACGACACGACCGATAATTTTTAAATCGATACCGAAACAACTACCAAAAGAAATTTCACTACGTATCAGTGCGATTCGGGAGACTTTTGAAGAATGTGGCATACTCCTCTGCAAGAAATCACAAAATGGCGAGTTGCAACCTGATTGGGCGCAACATATCGAAAGTAATTCGATTCTTGTAACAATTAAAAAATGTCTAACTACTGCACCACGGATGAAGGAAATATTTTAACAGCTCAAACAAAATATTTTCGTTATCTAGTGCCCGAAAACGAGTTGCACAGCTGGCAAGAAAAGGTGCATAATGATGCCACGGAATTTTACTCGTTATGTAAAAATTTCGAATGCTATCCTGATCTCTGGTCTCTTTACGAATGGAGCAATTGGTTGACACCGACTTTTTTCCTCGATAAAAGATTCAACACCGTTTTCTATTTGGCCTGTATGCAAACTGTACCTCCCTGTTTGCAGGAATCTACGGAAATCGAGGACATGAAAGTGAGACACTACTTCATGATATGATAACGATTTATGTATGTGATTAATATTTTTATGTAATATAGTGGGACGTACCAGCAAACTTTATATTCTCTGGTCCTGAGTTTACATTACCACCGCCGCAGCAGTATGAAATCGCGAGAATAGCAAAGTTTGAAAGTATAGATAATTTGCTAGATTTCGCGAACGAGCGTACCAAACTGGGCGTACGCATGAATCTGCCGGTACGTAACAGAATTTGGAAATCTTTGTCGAAAATGGTTCAGTGATTCTAATTCAATGTGTCCCGTTAGGTAAAGGTGGAGTTGCAGGATGGGAATGTGTATGTCTTGCCGGGTGACTCGATGTACCCGGAACACGCAAATTTATTTGACAAACAAGTGATCGACAGAACGGACATCACTATCGAGCAATTTCGAGAGATGTCACCTGTAAAAAATCGAGTGGAATTCTTTAATCTCGAAGTGAAGAGGCTTTTCGTTCAGAATTTCGACGATGAGGATGGCCACTTGTCGCCCATGTCACTGAATGAAATCCGTATAAAACAAACCCATAAAAAATAAAACACAGTTTTTAACACCATCATGTGTTCGTTTCTTTTTTATGAAATTGTCAATGAAGCAACAATAATGTGTAATAAACGTATATTCCAAGTATTACATCGTATATGTATATCTTCCTACCTTCTACAATAGTAATTCGTGTAACTGTTTCCGTCTACTCCTGTTTTATATCAGATGGTTACAAATAAACGCGGGAAAAAAGGGCGCCAGAGTGTGATACTGTAATGGCTGCTTAGCTGTTTTGTGTAAAAGTGAGTGCCGTCGGATCGAAGAAATATTAAAAATGAGTACTCGTAATGAATAAGATATCGTTAAGTAAGTATACGAACGTCTTTCCGTGTGCCCCAATTACTTATATCATTATATAGCAGCTTTCTTTATTGTCACAAAATCGGTATGTCACGTGGAATTGACACATGCCTTTAATGCAACCAAGGATAAGTAACTGATGCATTTATTTTTTAGAAAATGGAATACACTAAACGACGACGATATACAGTTAATGTTGAGACTCATGACCTTCAAGAAATTTACCAACATGACTTACAAATGTATGATTTTCCCCCAACTGGTGAAATTCCATTTGTGGAGTTTCAGCAATTGGGCATGGAGAGACTAAAACGTAAGTGCATGATTAATTTAAAGACACACTGACTGGCATAAATGAACATTAAGTAAAGTTCCTTGAATGTATATATTATTTATAGTACTACAACACATTGAAAATCATGCTGTACGAACAGATTTTAAGACATTACATGATCGTAAACAAAATCTAAGTACAGCTTTAGAAAAAGATGGACTTAAATATTTTGTGCATCTCTTATATGCAAAGGGATGCAAGTCAACAACAGAGGTAGATTTGCAGTATAGAAAAAAGGATCACCTGTCCCACTTTATAATGAGATTATCATATTGTCAAGACCAAGAACATCTGATGTGGTTCATTAATCAAGAAGTAGAATTATTTAAACTGAGATTTAATTCATTAGATAAAGATGGAATAGAGAAGCTACTTAGCATACATAACATTGAGTGTCAACAAGTAAGGAATCAAACTAAGAGATTAGTCATCATCTTTTAAGTACATAATTATCCTAATTGGTTTTCACTTTGTTTCTAAGATTACTCCAGAAGAAAGACATGAAATTAGAGAAGAACTTTATTCATCTACACCAAAACTTGTAAATATTGAGTTGTCAGAATTTTATAAAGTACCTTTTCGGAAAGTCACTGACCTAGTTAGATCGCGTAGGGTTTATATTACAGAGGGAATGGCATACATTGCTCAAGCAGACTTAGTTTCTCTGTTTGTTTCTCACTTTAGAGCAAATTTGCATGACAGTCTAGAGGTAAGTATTTTATTAGTTACATTTATTGGGCATAAGTTCTTCAAGTTTTAATCCCATTGAATATATTCATACCATACAGTATACAAAGAATTATGTTTCAAATATATCTGATGATGAAAGATTGATATCTTTCCTTAAATCTTTGCCTGGTTCTTTCTCTGGCATGACCCGTGTTGTTTGGACATCCACCAGTACACCTATAGATAAGCTGGATGAGGTAATTAACTAGTTCCTCACACTTTTACTTTTGTACAATAAAAAATAATTTTTAGTTATCAAGAACATCTTATCCTTTATGTATGAGATCATTACACGAAGCACTTAGGACTCAACATCACCTTAAAAACAGTGCACGCATACAGTACAATTTGTTCATAAAAGGTATAGGGGTAACATTGGAAGATGCACTACGTTTCTGGAAAATAGAGCTCACAAAGAAGATAGACCCAGACAAATTTGACAAACAGTATGCCTATTCTGTGAGACATATGTTTGGTAAAGAGGGTAAACAGACAAATTACACACCCCTTGGGTGTCCAAAAATTATATCATCCGCAGTGGGGCCTGGAGAATACCATGGCTGCCCATACAAGCACATGGATCATGAATCATTGAGACAAAAACTATTTGGTTATGGTATACCTGCAGAAAGTGTCAATGAAATAGCAGAGCTGTCCAAGGATGGTCATTATCTTATTGCTTGCACAACATATTTTAAGGTTTTACACAATCGCTTGCCAGACAGGGCTATTACTCATCCAAATGGATATTTCGTAGAGAGTAGAGCCATATTGGCCAAAGATGATCCTACAGGTAATATAATTTAGTATTGTACACGCCAGGAATCTAATAATTAAACAAATAAATTTTTTTGTTATCTTTTTTGCACAGAGTCTGATAGTCAAGAAAGATTTACACAAAGTGGAAGGACCAGTGAGAGATTTAGTAATACTCCAAGAATGGATAAAAGCATGGGTACTCCTTTAAGGAATGTCGATAGATCGATCCTCGGTACACCTCCGAGAAGCATAAATAAAAGTAATACACCGGTTAGAAAGGTAGAAAGAGTGAGCGTGACCCCAGTCAGAGCAACTAAAGCCACTCCAAAAAGAATAGACACTAATCTCAACGAAGATGAAATTGCCGAATTAATGAGCGAAGATATGTGAACGTAAATAACATATCCATGGAATATTTATAGTATGTTTTTATTGTAAAATAAATATTTTTATTACTTCTCTATTTTATGCGAATTATTTCCTAAATAGCGTTGCATTATACGTAACTATTAACCTCCTTCAATGATTTTTTCGATAGCAAGTTTACCCTTACATCGCGTATCATCGACTCCACTAGTTGCTCCAAATTGTACTTGTTCTGCCACCCCCAATCCCGTCGCGCCTCACTATCATCGAAGACTTGCGGCCAACTTTCAGCTAAAATTTACACAATCAAAACTATATGTTTAGCGAATCGTATCTATGCAAAAATCTAATTCACTGACCAATGTATTGTCGTCCATCCGGCTTATACGTAATCTTTAAGTCGGGAACGTGTTTCTTAAGCTCGTTAAACAGTTCTTCCGGCGTGAAGCTCATTGCAGTGACATTGTACACCCGTCTACGCAACTGATCGTTAGAAGTATTTAAAAATTGAAAGAGTGCCGACAAACAATCCTCTATGTACATCATTGGCAGCCTCGTACATGGTTCTAAATAGCATTCGTATTTTTTAGTAAGCAATCCCTCGTGAAAAACCGCTACAGCGTAGTCTGAAACAGGAATCGTGGAGGTACGTTCTGTTAACCATTCTTACAAGATATATTTTACTGTGCATTGTAGTCCCATTTACGATCTCATGGAGTCACTTCGCGATTTACGCATCAGGAGATAAGGGAAACGCAAGGAACGATCTCACGGCTCGTGATCAACAGACACTCAACAATTTACTAATACTATTGTCCTTGAGGAGCGATGGATTGCACTATTATGCAGTTACTCAAATCACGATTGGAACTTGCTCTACTTCGTGTCCGAGGAAGTTGTAATAAAATAAACGAAATACAGTCTCTATTGTAAAATAAAATATAACATGAAATTGCAAGTACCTGTAGTTCCACCACCAGGTGGATCACTGCTGATGACTCCCGGAAACCGAAGACACCGGAAGTCAAGACCGAATCTATGATGATAATACTCGCCTAAAAGTTCGGCGTGAACCTTACTGACACCGTAAATCGTCCGTGGCCGTTGGATGGTAACATTCGGGGTGGGATTTCTCGGTGAATCGGGACCAAACGCTCCGATCGTCGACGGAATAAATATCCTCAGTTTATACTGTTTCGCCAGCTCGATCACATTGTGCATACCTAACGTGAAATCGAGTCTTTACTAACGATCATCGGAATATCGTTTTGCATTAAACGAACGATTGCCTTTGAAACACGACAGTCAAGAAAGAAAAATCCACTTTCTCTCGAGGCACTTTCCTTCGTAGCCGTGGTAACAATATAATTAATATCGTAACGACGAATTCGCTCATCACGACATACCATTCCACTCGAGCCACAGTCTTTAAAAGTAACTACGCGCTTCGAGAAACTGATCTGAAGATTTTAAAAGTCGTTTTACCTTCAATATTGACCCTCACCGCAAGAGGAACGTTCTGTTCGCCGATAGCGCTCAGAAGAGCACTGAAATGTATCAGCCAGTCGATTCTATAGTTCACCACGATTTTTTGGAGGCCCTTGAAGTCGAGGATATCAGCGAAGATGAACGGTCCGTTCGAAAGATTTTCATCGGTTGGCTTGATTATGTCCGAGAGAATCACGTTCTCATTTCCATAATTTTTTCGTAGCAATTTCGCGCATTCGGTGCCCAATTGTCCAAGGCCACCTTACAACAAAGGATATGAACGGATCGGTGTAATAGAAACCGCGGTGAACACGCGTGCGTGATTATCAATGATAATTTACAAGAATAACAAATATTTTCTTATGTCACTGTAACACGTCATCGTTAATGCATGTACTTTTTTGTTGCTAGAACAAGTAAACAATATGCAAACAGTATTTACATCCAGATTTGGAATATCAATGTCCGGTTTTCGTGTAACGGATAACAGGAACGAATGACAGTTACAACTGATTTCGTCATGAGTATTCTGATTAGTTTTTTAAGGCCATACACGTACCTGTAATTAGTATTCGTGGCGATTTCTTTCTTACGTCTGATCGGAGGTTCTCGCTTTCTTTGAGATCTCGAGAAGAAAAAGTACCCGTGACGTGGAAATCTCGAAAAGTGCTTCTTGATACTCGTCGGGAAATATGTGCGAGACTTTTACACCACATTATAATTGATGATGGTCGTTATTGTTTGTTACAGAGATAGAAAAGCTTGATCTGTATTTTCTACTCTCGGATGTCGATAAACAACTGGCGTACGCTTAGCTGAATATCTAATATTATAGCTAGGTTGAATCTGAAAACCAGTTACAACACAGATTCATTTCGTTGCTGTGTATTTGTGCGCCGATAGGTGCTGGACCTTCGTTATAATGATGAATCTGTACCTCTGCATAAGACACGTGTGTAAGATACATGCGGAGATTCAATAATGCATTCAACATTTATTGTACTTCCTACAATGTAAATAAAGTTTATTATATTTCTCTTAGTAAACAAATTAATGATTACAAATAGATCGAATCTTATTTTGGAAAAAAACTAACTGATGATGTAGTAATAATTAATAATTATAGTACTAATAATATTGATCATATCACCGTGAAATTTGAAATAAAGTACTTATAGAGGTTCTAATTGATTTTGAATTGTTTCGCAAAATCTACCCAACCTTCCAGACAATCTTGATGTTTTAGAACCGGTTATCGCCGAATACCTTGTTCTCGCTTTAGTATGGTAAACAACAAATTTAAATACAGAATTAGAAACGAAAGAAACGATGAAGATTTCATTTTATAGAAAAATGCGACATTAGAACCAAAAATGACCCTAGTGATCATTACATTGTTGTTGATCTCTGCGTGGACCGAAAAGCGATTATTCATTTCTGTTCTACTGCTCGTTAATTAAACTTGTTAAGTTTTAACAAGTTCTATTGCTGATACCGTTGCTGGTATATACCGTAGTGTATTTTCTGCATGTGTCGAAAAAAGCGGATAAAGAAAGACACAACTCATGTCATCTGGACTGGAACCCATTTAACTGCACGTTCTTGAGAACATCATGGGAATCACGGTTTTTCCAAGTTAAAGAAAGGTCAAACATCTTTGCGGGAGTAACTTGTCTATATCATGACAAAAATTGAACAGCAGAAACTTCAACAGCAAAGAGTAACAAAGATTTTTTTACCTAGAATCTTGTGAAAGTATTTCTCGCGTTAGGATTGACGGCCATTTTTTCGGTAGCCATGACGTTTAGAGTGGTTTTGGAATAAAGAAACCTCGAGTGAAAAATTTGCCACTGTCACCAAACTTATTTGGGTGGCAAGATTTGGTGGAAAGGGAAGAATTTCCTGGAAGCGTGCCTTCACGGTGGTTGGACACAGCACTTCGCAATTCTCCTTTCGTCCCGCTCGCCATCACCCACGCCACAGTCATCTTCTCCCCTCGACTTTGTGCATCAGCACGCTTTGCACAAAAGTCCCCCGTGTAGTTAGTTCGTGTCTGTCCGTAACGAGAGCGCCGAGGCTCTCGCTTTTCTGAAACGGGGTACAAAACGCGACGTGTTGACTCCCTGATTTGTGAACGAATCACAGTGTTACACGATCTCTCGACTCGAGGAGATATCGATTCCTCCACAACCACCGAAGCATCGAAGGACACAACGCACATTTTTATCAAGGAATTACCTAGCCTCTTCCGACAAAGTAGCGCGAAATCGAAGGTAAGGGTGGACTTTACGCATCGAGAAGTATTCACCTGCAACATTAAAAATGTTTCGATATATTCTAGATAAAGAATAGAGTTTCTTTTGTATTTTTCGAGCCGATTCGAGTTCCCTTTGAAAAGTGCCCGACTTTATTTCGAAGTTGCATAATTCCAAGAGACTTGGTGGGGCTTAGAAAGAACGATAGTCATGGTGGAAAACCGAGGAAGTACATGTCACTTTCACTGAAATCATACACGATCACCGCTTCCTTCGATCACGGTTGCTCGTGATCACGATGACAATGGTGGTTTTGCTGCTGCACCTTTATCATTTGTTCACATTGTACGCCACGACTGGTAGCGTACGCAACAAATCGATTACGTTAGTTGTTTGTAGGATCGGTTCGATTCACGCGAAGAGCCGACACGAATGGTTTCCAAAGAGGACTCTGGTTTGCGATTTCGATTGAAACGCGGTTACTCGTTATTATTGTTCATTGAACGACGAAAAACACGATTCTGTAACAATCGAATGGACTGGTTCGAGCGCGATGCAAATGCAGTCACGCGAGTGCAGCGACCTGTATTCCTGGAGAGTTTCGGATGCGCTCCCTTAAATTTACGGTTGCACCTTGAAATACATACAAGATATTTTCACGAAATCTTTTATATATATGTAGATATACATATATATATATATTAATGGTCGCACACAGTATCGGTATTCTTCATGTTCGGCTGCGTTTCCAGGCCGTCCAATTGTTCGTACTTACGGAAGACGCGTTATGAAACACACGTGGTCACCCGTGACAGCAGCCTCGAAGAATACCTTTGTTTTCGTTCGATCTGATAGACCATAGGGGACTTTTCTCTTCCGTATTAATCCCTACGAGTAAACCTTCATTTTGGTTTCAACACATCGAATCAGATACATGTATAGTTAATACACATTTCAAAATCCTTCATCTTTCGTCAGAATTTGATGTGTACCGCGAGAGGTTCTAGGCGACAGCGATGGTTACGGAGACGGTTTGTCCTAGCGGTCTTTAGCTTACGGTACGAAGCATTAATTTTGTCGTCTAGAACCGTGACGTGTAAGCAACTAGTCGAAACACACGTGCATTAGTCGATTTACGCACGGAAAGTACCGTGACACATCCAAGGACAATTTTTAACGCGTAAAAACCGTGTCTCTTGGCCAAAAAGCGGCACAACTTTATTGCTAATATGAATAATTCTTCGTTCGAACTTCCTCTTTTAAATCACAGATTGGTCGATGCGTGTATGAACAAAAAAAAAAACAAATAAACGTTTCTTCCAGAAAATGCGGGATTGGCATCTAAGGTCGTAGACCAAGGTCCGAATGCGCGATGGTTAAACCACCGGAAGGTGGAGGCCTCTTTGTAGCCGGCTGGTTTCTGGCACTGTGTATCATCAGTGTCAGCGGCCAGCTGGGCTCCGAGTACGGATGTCCTACTCAGGAGAGGATTCTACCTTGCAGATGCTCGACCCGTGATATGGAGATTCAAATATGGCAAGTGTAGATCGCGAAGACAATAAGTATCTATAAAGTAGTACCCTTTATTCGTCAATTCTCTACCAATAGGTGCAGTCATAGCGACTTACCAAAGGTTCTCGAGGGTTTAAAAGCAGTGAGCCATTACATAGACCGACCGGTGGACGAATTGATCCTGGAGAACAATAATCTGCCTAGTCTACCGGGCAAAGTTTTCGCCACGCTACGCGTTCTCCGTTTAATGCTGCGAAACAATCGCCTCGAGAGAGTGTCCTCCGGTTGGCTAGAAGGTCTCCATGATTCGTTATTAGAGTTATTCGTCGTGGAGCCTGATTTACGATCATTGCCGGTGGATAGTCTCGAAAATCTACAGGGTTTGGAGGCGGTCACTTTACAGAGTCGAGTGATGAAGAAACTACCGAAGTTTTCTGGCCTGCCGAAGCTCAGATACCTCCAGATCAATTCTCCGGCGTTGTTGGAATTGGCGCCGAGAAACTTTCGAGATTTGCCCAGCTTGGAACAGCTGCATGTGTTTGGTAGCTCGCGTCTGATACGCTTGGAGGCAGGCCTCTTTCGAGGCCTACCCCGACTCGAACTGGTGAACATTACCGATTGCGGAATTCATTGGGTTCATCCTCGAACCATGATCGATCTACCGGAATTGAAAGAAGTCTCTTTGGTCGGTAATTCGATAGTCGAAGCCGGAATGATCGGTCGCGCCTGTACGGATCTGCCCTCGTTATCGGTGATACGGCTCGATCGAAATCGAATAAATCGTCTCGACGAGGGAGCGTTCATCGATCTACCAGTCCTATCCCGCTTGTACTTATCGAGGAATCACATTACCGAGGTGTTCGCTGGAGCGTTCCAAAGAATGCCAGCCTTGAAGACCGTCGATCTTAATTACAATCTAATACATCGCGTGCATCCCGAATTTTTCCCCCGGCGGCCCGGAAACGTCCTAGAGGATCTGTGGCTGATCAATAACGATCTCAGCCACGTGACCGAATTACGATCGATAATGGAGGCGTTGCCCAGATTAAAGTTTCTCGACGTGAGCCACAATCAAATCGAGGAGATACCGTTCGGTTCGTTGAGGGGTCATCCCACGTTAGAAAGACTTCACCTTGATCACAACAGAGTGGCCTTTCTGCAAAGGGAGACCTTCACCGCGATGCCCGCTCTCAGGGAACTTCGATTAAAGAACAATTCTTTGTCGAACCTGCTGGAGATTCCGTTCTGGGACTTGCCCGCGCTGAAGGGGCTCGATCTCTCCGAAAATTATTTCCGCCACGTTGAACCACGTCTGCTGGCGAACTTGCCGAGCTTGAGACGATTGGATTTGAGCGGAAACGCGATCGGACTCATAGAGCCTGAATCGTTCTTAGGTACGCCAGCCCTGGAGCACGTCAACATCTCCGGAAACGCGCTCTCTGTTCTCCATCCGTTGACATTTCATCATTTAAACAATCTTTACGAACTGGACGTCGGTTGGAATCGAATGCTCGAGATCGTTCCAGGTCTACCAAGGAACATCGAACACCTTCACATGCCCATGAACCGTATCGTCGTTCTGCCCGCTGTGTCTTCCCAAGATTTAGCACTTCCGGTTCTAAGGACCCTGGATCTCAGTGCAAACGGAATCGAGAGGATACAACCTGGTAGCCTGACAGATCTACCAAACTTGAGAAAACTGAACATGGGTTACAACTCTCTTCGAATTATCGAGGATGGCACGTTCGATGGCATGTCCGGGGTGGAACAGTTGGACTTGAAGTACAATCGATTGGTCACTTTACACGGAAGAAGTTTCAGGCCCCTTAGATCGTTGATGGATCTAAGTCTACGGGGAAACCGATTGGAAGTTCTTAGGCCGGACATCTTTCAAGAAAACGTTCGATTGCAGAGGCTGGATCTCAGTAGGAACAATCTCGCTCAGATTCCTCATGCTACCTTCTCGAACACCAGGTAAAATCAGATGAAAGTGTTATGATTTTAATAAAGATCTATGTTCTATAAAACAAGGCAGCAAAGAACTATTTTTCAACGCGTTAACATGCCCGTAGAAAAGCGGTTTCACTCGTGGTTATTTAGTTGCGTCACCGGCAAATTGGTACCTAGAAAGTTCTGCTCGTGTTAAGTGTCCCCTTCTAGATACAAAGTGACACCATCCTAGCATGTCGGACATTTTCCCATGCTTTGCGTTACCTTAACGCGTGAATTATCGTTAACAAAATCGGAATGACGGGAACTTGTTTCTCCCATACTTTAGGGATTTTCGGAAAATTTTGTCCGTTAAACGATTCGAGATTCCGCGACAGTATCGAGCGATGAAAATTGCTCTTCTTAAATAGATCCAGGCAAATTTATCTGCTCGAGACGGAAATAACCGTTTCGATTAATGATTCGATGTCAAAGGGAGGAAACGACGTTAATTACAGAGACCTTCGTGAACTGTACGCGTCGCACAACACTTTGACCGAGTTACCCGGATCGTTGCACGGCTTAACAGCTCTTCAGGTTCTCGACTTGAGCTTCAACAAGCTGAACATCCTGTCGCCGGAAACGCTAAGCAGCCTATCGGCCTTGCTCGAGCTGAAACTCGTCAGGAATCGTATCCGCGAGCTTCGCGAGGGTGCGTTCGATGGTCTGCCGCGATTGTCCCTGATCGATCTGGAGAACAATGATCTGAGGATCATCGAGAGGAACGCTATCAGAGCTCTACCAGAATTGCAAGCGATACGACTTGGAAAGAATCGATTACAGGTGCGTAGAAATTGTTCCATTCTTTTATCGATACACTTAGAAACGAGATACTTCTGCGGACTTACCGATTGACCGTCTATCAGATAATTCCAAGTGGAGCTTTCACCGAGCTACCTCTTCTCCAAAGCGCGGAACTTCAAGAAAATCGGATTCAGGAAATCGCAAGCAACGCTTTCATTAACGTGCCTCACCTTCTCTTCCTTAATCTAAGCTACAATCATTTGCCAGCTTTGGATTACGTTGGCTTGGAGAGTCTACGGTCCCTGGAGGTTCTGGACTTAAGCAACAATCGATTGTCCAGGGTGTCTAGCAACAGTTTAGCGTCAATGGAGTGGTTGGTGGAATTAAAAGTGAGTAATAGAAAATTTGAGAAGGAAAATCATCGCGTGCTACTTTACGTAATCTCGTGTTTCATTCTCGAAAATTAAGTTATTGTCAATGTTCGTTACGATCACGTTCAGTGGTAGCGTAGAATGAAACGAAAATAATGGGAAGGGGGAATCGTCTTTAGTAATAACGGCGAATACTTTCTCGTCGAAAGTGAAACTTCTCCACGAACCGTGGTGCGAGGCCACGTTCGTTATGCTAGCGGAGCAATTATTCGTACAGCTGAATCGTTAATTAGGAAGATAGCGGATCGTTTTACATACGTTTTCCACTTTGCCCACAGATGGATAACAATCGGATTTGCGCCATCCAAGGCTCCCCATTCGACGAAATGCCGAGGCTTCGGTTTCTCAGCCTGAGAAGCAACCGGATGGCTTCCGTTTCGGAAGCGGCATTCAAACGATTAAGATCGAACATTGCTGTCTTGGATATCGATGGTAATTGAATCATTCATCGGAAAGAGAACAGTTCGAATAACTATTATCTGATTTTCCTTTATGCGTGAACAGGTAATCCATTGTCCTGTTCTTGTGGGATGTTATGGTTGAGGGGATGGCTACAGCAGGCCTCTTCCGAGGGTCCAAGATGCGCGGACGGATCATTATTTAAAGAAATTAGATTATCTCGACAGGACTGTCAGAGGGAACGACAGATAGATCCAATTCATCCCGGATGCGAGGCTGAAATGATCGACATTGCGCCGTACCCCGTATCTTCATCCCGTGAGTATAATTAACAATAATAACGTTTCATGAAAAATATCATAGCATAATACGAGTTCACGTTTAATAGTGACCTAGCGTGTAAAATGTTTTCTATTCTATACTACCAGTTTACGGGGCAACGGAAGTGGTACCACTCCGCATGAACATGAAAGACTTAACGACCCACAGACCTACCCTGGACTCCGACTACATGTACGAATATCCAGATTACCAAGAACCCAGGAACGATACATCTAACGCGACAAGTCAATCATTCACTACTGTAACACCAATAGACTCGATGAAAGATGTTCAGACGACAGAGAAAGTTCAAATTCAATCGAACAACACCGTGCCTGTGAAGAAGAATACCCTAATGCCTCCATCTCCCAGTAGTTCTGGTTTCACCTTCTTCGGGGTGCCTCTGCCTAGTCTGAACTTTAACCTCTGGGGAAACTCAGGAAGGAAATCAGAAAGAAAAAATTCCGAGGGAAGACCTGGCCGAGGTCGTTATAGAACATTTCCACCGACGGAACCGGAAATTCATAGAGGGGGTTTCGTACCTCTGCCACGTGGGCAGAGTGGTTTCGTGCCTATCGTGGATCCTCGATTATCTTACCAAAAGCAGATTAAAAATGATACCTCGAGGCAGCAGAATTTAAGTGTGGTTCAAGAGGAGAAGAGAAAATGGAAAAGTGGGAATGGTACAGTGGTAAAGATCGACAAAGTACAGCTCAGAACGAGTAGGCCCAAGGTGGGATTCAAGGAAAGAGAAGAATTATCCACGACGGCTGCGAACGAAGACGACTCTAGAAGCCAAGCATCCGGTCAAAAACAGAATAGGTAAGCATTCCACGAGATGGTATTAAAACCAAGAAAACTTTACACACTGTCTATGCAGTTCGAACCATGTGAATTCAACGAAAACGTCGGATTCGAGTGCCGCAGCGGACGAGTCGCCCCAAGAAGCGAACGAAACATCTGTGGCCGCTGAGATTCGGGATGACAAGAGCCCGGAGATGAACCGAAAGCCTGGTAAAGTGGAAGAGCAGCCTCACACAGAAGTTGCTAGTCGAATTGTCTGGACAACAGCTAGAACGATGTTAGAAACGAGAAAAGATATGAAAGAAAAACTTACAGAAGTAACAAAAGGAGAGAATAATGTCTTACCAGATTCGAACACCGTGAGGTTCCAAGAAACGTCCACTTCGACAACAGCAGCTCGATACGAATCAAATGGTACGGTCACTGTTCAGTTACTATTAGTTTTGTACAATTTTGCGCGACTGTTTATACAATCTTACTAATTCCAGACGACTCGACTGTTATGACGACCGATTGGCCAGCTTCAATGACGTCGGAGAACCGGAAGACCTCCACCTCCATGGCGACTCAATTTTCAAGGGAAACGGAAGCGTCGGCGCTTTCGGCGTTTCTGGTCCCAGGTGGCCTAGTGCCATCCTCCGTTTCAGTAGCGAATCTACGCCCGTTTGGTCGACCGACTATAACGAAAGTTGCCTCGCCGCATTTGGGACTATCGTCCGAAACAGAGAAGCAGAAATCCGTGGCAGAGGCTGTCCAACGAAACATAGAGATCGTGGAAGAGCAAATCTTGGATAAAGACGAGTCTTCGAGGGAGAATGCGGAAGTGATTGAAGATAGTTCGTTCAATTGGTACTTTCAGCACTACAACGACACTAATTTGGAGCCGTACGTAGGAATTGCGTACAGTGGAGGCGAGAAAATCAGACGATGGACTTTAATGGGTCAGATGTGCCTTGTCTTGTACGCTTTGATGTGAAAACGCGGGAGAAATTGAATGTCCTCAACAAGCAAACTATCTACCTGGTTTCGGTTTGTTCGTATAAAAAATGATCGTTTGGGGGATAAAGTAAGGAACAAGTCTATTAAAGAAAAACAGAGTGTATCTCAAATTATGTATCGTACAGGTACAAGCACGACAAAATGCTGCTTCACGGTACAAGTGTTGAGCCTTGGTGGGGCTTGGTATGATACAAAGTAAGCAGTCTGTTACGGCCCCCGTAGAGTATTAACGAAGAATAAATAGAGTCGTGTGTTCGAATGATCCATTTTCTATTCTTTTTATTTATAACGCAGTGTACGTGATTTATGAAAGCTCGAGTCCCTTAAACATGTTTGTAATGCTGAATTGTCTATGGTATGAAAATCTTATCCGGTATGTTCAAATATAGCGGGGTACATTACATAAAAGTTATGGCTAGTTTGAAGCAGTAGTTTCATTCCTAACTGGAGAAAAGAAATATCGCGAAACGCACCCATTTCATAACAGTACGGTGTTTAATAGATTGAAATATACGGAAATGTGTAACTGCGTTCTTACCATCATAACCCGTTATCTAATGTGAACACTCCCTTTATTTCTAGCTATCCTGAAACACTTCAAGAAAAATTATTCATGTTTATTTTTGCTTTTTGGTGTTAGCTCGAAATGTCAACCGACTCGAAACACAAAATACATTTGTACATGTATAGACAAACTGCATGAGTTTGGTGAATTTTCGTTAGATCTCAACAGTCTCAATCGCACGTGTTAGTCTCGGTTTCACTCGGATCATTGGCTCCTGGTTTTCGCCTTATCCTTCTCATCTTTTTTCTCTTCCTCTTTTTTTTCATCTTTCTTAGTTTCCTTCTTGTCCGTCTCTTTTTTCTCGGCGTCGCGATTTGTTAACTTATTATTGATCAAATTGTGAAGTGCTACTATGGATCTAACTAAAGCAGCTAAGTACACGACTAACATTTGATCATTCGTTTTTACGTATAGAGAGTCGACAAATTTACTTTGAGTCATATCGGGCAACAAATTAAAAATGTCCTGAAGTTGATAAACAATCTGATGGTTAATTGGTAGTTTACCACTGCCAACTTGAAGCAGGTAGTCTCTAATTTCCCTGATTTGATCGTGAAGACCTTTCAGACCTAATAATTGGTTTGTGATTCTCTGGCTAAGAGTACCAACAGTAGTATCCTTGATGTCCCTTAGCAAGTGCTCCACACCTACTTCTTCTGCTTCTTCTGCACCAATTTCACTAGGGATATGTTCAAATGTTTTTGATGTTGGTGAACCATCCTATAAACGAGTGAATGTTAATTATCTATAATACATATTGTAAAATACACTATGCATTTTAATATATGCATTTACATCATGAACTTCTTCGACAGCTTGATAAGCTTCTGTTGGTAGACCAAGATCTTTAGGTTTAGCATCGATGATGACTAACACAGAGTTTGGACAATATCTCCTAATCAGTTCATTAATAGCAACATCATTTTGATGCAGTTTAGGCCCAGTATGATACCACCCTACTACCTTCTCACGGGCTAAAATGATATAGAACATAATTTCTATTTCTTTTTACTGACTAACTTCTAACCTTCGAATACCTCTGTTAATATTTACCATTTACTTTCTTGAACATTCCATACATATTTTCCAAATAATCATGGTCAAGGAACCACACACTTTTGTCTTTGTCATCCTCATCAAAGGGTACTATAAGAAAGATGATCGACTCATTTGATTTAAACATCCAACTTACAACTATATTTAGTGGCGTTTTGTAGGTAGTTAGAAAATAATGGAGCGACAGTAAATGTATTGCGAAAATAAGCAATAACTACTGGAAGAAACAAGAAATAGTGGCGTCATTATTGGAGTCATCCTAACCTGCAAAACTGTTTGACACGTCTAAGACACCTTTAGCTCTCCAACAACCAAGAAGTACACCAACAACCCGTTTCTGATTGCCGATTTTGCCCATCCGATTATAGTGATCCACTACGCTAAGTAGTACCAGCGGATGTACTACTACTTTTGTTGTTACTACCTCTTGACTCGGCATTTTTGAGCTGCTGTTACGCTTCCACAGTGAATAGTTACTCTCAAACTCTCAACGATTCCTATAAGGAAAAAACTATTCTACGAAAAGAGTACAAAACAAGTGATTCTTTCCGTTTTCAACAGCTAGCTGGTAAAGAAGTCAAAAATTTGTAACTTGATTCCATGATGATCCCTGAAACAGAAACTCAGTAGATTATATCGTTTCTGCGGACAGTTAACAATTAATTTATTATAATTTAGCGAGATTTATTTCGACCCAAGCGTGATTCCTGAAACAGAAAAGCGAACGATTAGTATCGTAATATAATATCATTCTGGGCAGCTATTTCAGCTGCTTTGTGGTTCCGACGATGATGATGCCAGCATTGTTTGGGGCGTTTCATATATCGCAACACTAAATCAAACCCGATCCGATCATATCGCAATACTAATTGAAGAAAAGAAAAAGACTATTTAAATGCAATGAATATTGTGACTCTGATTCCACAAGACTATTTGAAAATAATTTAGTTCAAGAAAAGAAGGCAATCTCAAAAGCAATTCCGTTTCGTTTAAAACGCAACACTAATTTAATAAATGGGAACTATAAGTAATCGCGCTCAGATTAAATATATAAAAACGATCTCAAAACAATCGCGATATCATTGTAATCAACACTACTCATGGCAGTATTGAGAATTCACAAGACTAATGCAAACCGAAATCTTCTTCATCGCAACACTAATTTCAACCGCGATTTGCCCAATAGGTACTGCTGGTCGTTGGGGCGATATGCCGGCTGAAATACAAATTACTACTACTACAACAACTACAAGCGAGTACAGTGACAAAGTAGTAACGGAATGACTCCCCATCCGAAGATGCAGAGTCATTAGTAGTTGCCCTCTTCAATGACATAATCTGTGTCGGGCCTCTTCGGCATATAGCCTCTTCTTTTCTTCGGCAGTCCACCCACCTGAAACCTTCAAACAGGTCGTTCGTTTCGACAATCCTATCTGCCCGACCGCGACCGCGACGACGACCCCTTTGGGATTCGTCGAATTTGAAGAATCGAAGTCGAAACCGGAAGCAGACGACATGATTCGACTGGGCCAGCTTCGAATCGACACTACAAATTATCCCGGTAGCAGGACTATCACGCGAAACCTACGCGCGCCTACCCCATCAGAAAATGTGATAGCCTGCCCTGGCCCCTACCTACTTATAGTCTAATCGGACATTCACACACCAGAAGTTATACTACCTGTCTACCAGCCCTATATTTAAAAAAAATATGGCAAAAGACACATTCTCACCAACACACAACACTCCACGGTTCTCAAACATACGCCCGGGTGCAAATTACCCAAACACCTAGGGAGGACGTCCCGGGACTCCTCCGACACCCGAGCGTGATACTCAACTTTCACACTCTAATATTATAGATACGTACCATTTTCCTGAAATCGACTGACAAAGGCTAGTATCCATTGCGAAAATATAAAAATACTTGTATACTTTAAATCGATTACGAGATAATTTTTTCATATGATAGCAAGAGATTTAAACCAGTACATATTCCATGAAAATTTTGTTACAAACATTGTATACGCAAAGGAATATGTACGACCGACACAGAAAATTGTGAAAAATTGTTAGAAATTATAGAAATTTAATCGACGCAATTCCACTGCCTACCAACCACATACATACACAAGTGGAAAATACGTCGTGCACGGTAAACTAACACTTTGCCAGTCGCATTGTTATTATTATATATGAAATCAAATCATCGTACGCCGTTGCTCTCACCCAATCAGATAGCACCTGGGCACCTGAATGGGTTTGAGCAACGAATACGGAATAATTATCCTGAAAATCCTGACTAAAAAAATTATTAGTTTCTGCACTTCTAACGGGCTAATATGATCTCATTGGTTCTCATTTCATTTGCAACAAAAGTAACTCGACTTTGTGTTAATAACAATCGAAATGCAAATATTGGAAAAAACTAACGGAGATGTATTTTTAAATACAAAAAGACTTTACATTATGATTTTGTAATAAGATATTTGACTCGATACATTGAACAACCCTCGAGCGATTTCGTCGTCAAAGTCACTGTAAGACAGATAAAATAAGGGGAACAGACATGTTACTTTGACTCCGAAATCTACCCGTCGCGAAATGTCTTCTTGTACATGATCTGTAATATTACATTTATCCAGAACGTTACATTCTAACTCAATCCATGTATATCAAAATGCACTACTTGATTTTATGTCTGTGTTTGAGAAACGTGGTAATACGTATTTCTCATGTAATTCAATATACATTGTTAATCTAACTGATAATATATGTTGTTCACTGTTTTATTAGTAAAGTATGCAAACAAGCATTGCATGTTGTCAGTGATGCTTTATGAATATTCTCATTTGTATTAAAGATATGAAATGAAGACAAATATTAATCTTAAACTTCTTCACAGTGGTCTGGTATCATGTTAAATACTGTATTTAAATAGTAAATAAATGTAACTTCTTTATCTACAAATGACAGTACAACTGTTGAAAATAATAATGAACACACGAACAGGTGAAATAAAATTTTATTAATATGCAACAACTAACTATAATAAAAATATACTTTTTAACAGAAGTGTCCAAATGCTATTCACAAGTCACAAGCTATTCGAGCCTCCCCTCGTGGGTTTCCTCCACTACCGACCTCAGATTGCCTCGAGAGAGTCAAACTAAGACCCATAATGGTGGTACCTCCGGAGGGGAAGAATGCTGCTCATAATTAGTACATGGACATCTCTGCTCTGCCCTTTATAAAAGACAGAATACTCATTCATTCTGAGTATATACGTCTACCATACCAATATGTTCATGGAACACTACATGCTGGTGAAACACAGTAGTACCTTCCCTGCATTTAACGCTCACACTCCATTAAAGTGGTCGTGAGTACACGCCAGCACGTCTCGGTACTCTACCCGTGTACGTAACCGTATGCGTTCTTTGCCAGTGGCAACGAAAACACCGGCCACGATAACTGGAAATCGCAATGCACTTTTCAATGGTCATACATGCACAACGTGTTAAATTGTTCCATAACACGCGGTTTTTCACTAGGGCGTGCATATCGATGCACAGGTGACACAACTTAATACGTCTTTTTTTTATGCACCGATACTTTATTGCGATTCCCAGTACACGTGTTCCACTGTTCATGGAACTTGCAAATACGAATGACACCTTTGTGTCTTGCGACACTGGTTCCGGTTTTTGAAACATGCTGTCGCGTCTCGTGGTATTGCGCTAAATGCTACAACATGCTCATCTAAGAAGGCACCACCATGTTTTCCTCTTTATTTTAAACATACCGGTATGGTTCTTTTTTTTCTACTCTATATTGAAATCTATCGTCTACATTTCTTTTACACATTAATGAGTTCAATACTATTCTTGTACCAGCTAACTGTAGTTGTAGACTACTGTGAATTTATTGTATTTTCTATATTATGTAATTTTCGTTATGTAAATCGTATTTTATTCTACATTCATAAATGATACCAGACGACGAGATAGAAATTATAAGTAAGAAATGTGACTTCGTTCGCATCACATTCACCTCTATATCAATAACTTACAAATTTTTAAAATTGGACTCATAAATATACTTTTAATATAAAATATTTATGAATTGCATTACTAATTCTAAGCATGGCGTACAAGAAGACCCTAGCCTAGCTAAGGAACACAACAGGTCAATGTTACTACTCGTGGATATGATTGCATATCCGCGTTCACTGTACTCGCCAAATTTATTACGTATACAACCAGTCGCCCGTGCCGCTTCGGACCTATCATCCTACGGCATGATTGGGGACCAGAGGAATAAAAAAGCATGCGACTCACCCGATGATAGAAGGGCTCCGTATAAGATAAGTCTTGTGTCTTCGCGGAGAATCTGAAAAGAAAGGAACAAAGTACGTTACAATCTCTTCTCAAAGTTCTAGCTATTTCGACTGCATAATGGAAGTAATAAAATATAAAGATACTTACATTCCATGATGGTGGAGCTTTGTCCGAGGACATCTTCTTGAGTATTCAGTTATGAATGTGAGCTTTGCTGGAGGACATCTTCTAGAGTATTCAGTGATACAATATATGATTAATCTGAAAAAAGAGAACAAAATTTGTTATTATCTCTTCTCAAAATTCTGACTGCCTCAATTGAATGGTGTAAGTAATAGAAAATAAAGATACTTACAATCTCTATTGGTAGAGCTTCGCCCAAAAACATCCTCTTCAGTGGTGCACTGAATCTACCACCGCGAACAAGCACTTTCAAATAGAAAAAAAATAAAATAAGAGACTATTTATCGCGACTAAAGATACCAGCCGACGAACAAATGATTCTAGTTTCGCGATTCAAAACGCAAAGAGTGTTCCGACACTCTGAAAGTGATTGATGATACGCAATAAACACTGTCTCTACTTTCGCGAAAACCTAGTATTTTCGGCGAGATTCTACTCGGAGCCAGTTCGCTCCGGAAAAACCAAAAAAACTTCTACGATATAAACACTGACTCTACACAACCGCATTGCACGCGGCCACCAAATTCTGTGAAAGAATGTGCTTGTCATTAATATGTTATTTTAAAGACATTCGTTATGAGATTATAAGTATGCTTGTTTTTTCTGTCTAAACCATGCCCCGAATTTTGTAAATATTCAGAAATTCATTGTAAGCATTAAAGTTTAACTCAGGCTTCGGTGTGCATGATATACTACACAGCTATATAAGTAGACTCACAACCGAAACTATACACTAACTGTAACTATATAAATACAAATACTATGACTTCGTAAAAACAAACTCGTAAAATTATTAAAGTTAAAACAATTTCACCACCGGGATGCAGTAAAGTCCGGGTTGTATTTCGAATTTGAATGTCTGGAAGTATTGTCGGTTAAATTTCCTAACGGTTAAGGCAGCCATCTTGAATGCCTCGATTACGCGTTTGAATGCAAAATAATTTCCGAAAGAACTCTTGTTCGATTTTAGCATAGTAAATTACGAAATCGCGGTCATGCTTACGGTCAAAAACAGTAAAAACACAGTAAAGTAAAAATAAGTAGTTAAGTGTCATCTATTTGTTATAATAAATTACCTGAGTTCACCAATTTCCCGCCAAATTGCATCCAAAGCGAGAGTCCACTGTCATGGCATCGGTGGCGCGTTCTTTCCAACCGAAATTCTGAAACAGAATATAGAAGTTAATGCCAAGTGATAATACTAAATTAACAATGATTGAGTCACACCGAAACAATTATTGACTCGAGGAGTGTCCCTAAAGATTGAAAACTGAACAAAAACTGCCTAAATATTAATTGGTATCGCTGGGAGATTGCAAGTCGTGAACACCGGTTCACTTTACCCAGCAATACAGATTTACTTTACAATTATTTACCCTGAATTGAATACATATTAAACAAAAGTAACGATATAGTGCTAACGAAGGTGCTAACAGTATAAATGAGTTGAAGTGAAATGTAATGGTTACGTACTTCGACACGAGCGAGATCACTTCACGTCTAATCACTTCAGCTTTCCCGAGAAGACTGACCGTTGGCCCTTAGGTTGTCTGTGATTGGCTATGATCGGTTGATTCGGTTATATTACGAGCTCGTGATTGGTCAGTCGGTAGATAAGGATGCAATACCCCCTCGCCCCTCCCGCCGGCCCCCCGCCCGCAACCACTGTACTTATATTTCTATTTTAACGAAATAAAATAATCACCACCGTATTGCATTTGAGTATGACATTTGTGTCATATATACTCGAGATTAAAAGAGTAACTACGAATAAAACGGAAAAACAGAGGCACAAGTACGATTTTACAGAAGTTACATTTCGCAAAAGTCTCTTGGTTGTAAACAATGCCAGAGGCTTTATGTATTTTGTGCCTCTAGTTGATCAACCTTCCCAACCTCGCATTCCAATACACCTGCGATTCATGAAGGAATTGTGAATTGCATACATACCCTTCTCCATCCTCGAACATTTGTTACTGTAATTCGTTTTGGATGGGCAGCGTTAATGTGATATCTAATCGTATGTGTTTTACTGCCCTCTTCTCAATGTTTTTAAATCTGCAATGCTACCCTAAACGCCCCCTATGGTTAATATTTCCCAATCATTTGCCTGAGATTAATTCATCATGCTATTGTCGGATGGCGCTAACATTCATTTTTCTCACATTCTATACTATTTAATAAATATTTAATTATGTAGTGAGCAATACTTTGCAGGCTCTGTTGCTCGTAATAATGACGAAAATAAGCTGCTTTTAAAACATTTATTTCTTTGTCTATTATTATTTTTGTCATCGTAGCATCTTCGAGGGCCCGCAGTTTGTAGCACTGTCGGAGAAGCACGTGCCACGTTGCTAGCACGTGTATATTTCTTTGCTTCACCGGCCGCTATAAGGTAACATTTTTATTGAAAGTTCATAAGTTATTATAGTATTTTTAAACAGAAATTGAGGTAACATATATTAGTCAATAGGTTCAATTGGAGATCAATTAAATTTGTCCTAGAATAACATCAGTACATGTTATGCCGCTATAATACATTTGCTGTTACCACAGACGAGGTATAGAATAGACTTACCACCTTGTGGGACTTCGTGTCTCACGTTCTGAAATACCGATTGCGCAAAAATCAGATGGTGCACTCTATGTGATGAGAACGGTGAATTCGGGAATTACATTCAATTCAAAGTTTCTATTTATTATGAGAATACGTGAAACTGAATACTTTACTAAATGGAAGAAATTTCATATTTATTCCACTATATTAATAAATTTATTCCCTTCCTTCATTTCCTACGATTGAAATAAAGATATATAAAACTGAACACCATGATTACTTCCCTTCCTTAATATCTGTTGCTCTGAACTTTAATTAATCTCTTATTAATTTAATGTCATTTGATTAAGAATTTGATGTGCAGTGTTTATTTCTATATCTATGTATACACTTTTTAATATTCATTTTCATAAAATGAAACCAAGATTCTATAATATTTGCCGAGATAAACATTTTTTTGTGAAAATAGTTTTTGTAAAAATCTGTGAAAATTGCCAACTTTGATGGTCTGTATTTTTTTAACAATTCGTGGTGTAATACAAATTTGTGTTTCGATGGCTCTTTTGATAAATATTACTCTCCTATATGTAATAATACACAGATGTTTTTGTAACTCCACAGGATGTCGAAGCCAATAGTGTTTGTAACTGGAAACACAAAGAAATTGGAGGAGTTCGTGGCCATTCTGGGAAAGAATTTCCCTCGAGAGATCACAAGTAAAAAGATCGATCTTCCGGAGTATCAGGGAGAAATCGATGATATTTGTCGCAATAAATGTCGAGCGGCGGCGAGTCTAGTAAAGGGCCCGGTTATTATCGAGGATACATGCTTATGTTTCAATGCGATGAAGGGTTTACCTGGCCCATACATTAAATGGTTCCTCGATAAATTAGGTCCTGAGGGTCTTTATCAAATGCTACATGGCTGGGAAGACAAAACAGCAGAAGCGGTTTGCACGTTTGCTTATTGTGCTGGAGAACCAGAGGATGCTGTTATATTGTTTCAGGGTCGAACACAGGGAACCATAGTAAATCCTCGAGGATCACGAGACTTTGGTTGGGATCCGTGCTTCGAACCCCTAAATAGCAACAAAACGTATGCAGAGTTACCAAAAGAAGTGAAGAACCAAATTTCTCATCGTAGCAAAGCACTGGAGAAGTTGAAAGATTATTTTTTAAAAGGTGTTGAACATTGATTGGACACATTTTACATCTAGCGGCTAAACAGTATTCATTTTATAATAATAAGAACTTTTTAAAATTGCTTAAACTCAGGAGTACAGTGATGTAACTACCCAGTAATGGAACATTGTTTATTATTTTATTTCTACCTAAAGATTTGTTCTTCCCACATGAAGGATTGAATATCTCGAGAAAACACGCCGGGCACTTTGACCCAATGTTAACGAGATTTTCCTCTTATCATCGAAAGCGATTTCACAGCAACAACATATTTCGGCTGGCTTGATAATGGCAAAGGAACTCTGACGTAGCTCGAGTATTCTTATACATACTATTGTATCGATCATTCGATTTAGTACGTTTCGTTGATCGTTAATCATAGATTTATTGTAACACAGCAACAATTATATTTGGTAATCTATAATCTATATCATAGAAACCGTATGTAGTCATAATACATTTATCAAAATCTTTGCATTATATACTGTATTGCTACAATGTCTGGATCAATAAAACGCGTAGATACATATTGAGCACATAAAGTTTATATATAATTTACTTGTATCACCCTCGACGAGACAATGTAATCACTGTGTACGTATGTGTTTGTTATTATTATTTGTTACCAATAGTCGTAAACACGTAATCGTGTTTTATTTGTTGCTCCTGGGAAGATTGTTGATAAAGTTAATTAAAGTTATTTAAGTCACGGTGCGATCGGCCCGTACGTACAGACGTAATCTTCATGTGAATGTCAGTTATAGCTTCTTTATCATCCTACTTTCATCATTCTCTTCTGTAATAATACACCATCTACAGTACACATTTTCGTACGTTGTTGAATGATCCCGTCTAAAATTCCTTTTTTTTCCATAAGAGACACGTAAATACGCCATTTTATTTCCACGTATGGAGAGTTCAATGCTGTATGGAACAGAACGGAGCTGGGAGACATGTAAACAGGAAAAGTAGAGAAGAAGGAAAGAAAGAAGGTTGTATTATACAGTCGGTTGTCTATTATTATGAGAACAAAGATGACGGAAAATATCTCAGTGTTCGGTAAAAGAACACGGATATTTTTCTGAGTCATTCACATGAAGAAAGTGCGCCGCTGCAACGATACCCGCGCGGGTTATCTTTTGCATTGATTACACCGGCACGGCCAGTTCGTAACATCTTTTTGTAAGGGGTTATCGTACATATATAGCTTGCACATTCCCATGTCACCGGGTTTTGCCGATTTTTCGGCTTATAAAAGGAGAATGTCGCGCCGAGTATCATCAGTCTTTTTTGGAGTGGCGACTATGATGAACGCCCTAATTGGTAAGTGAGAAGATCGAAGGAAAACATGCGCCTGATTGATTAAAAGGAAACTCTAATACACTTTTAATAACTTGTCATTTTTCGTATTTCAGTTCTATTGGGGTTCCTAGCGGCGGCGCATGCCGTGCCGGGTACGTTATTGGATATTAAACAAAAATTTCTCGATCAGCCGTGAAACACGAAAATAATATTATTTACAGCTTACATCCCCGATGGAAAGGAAGTGGAGTACACATACACGATCGACGTGAAATCCGGTCTCATGGAGCCGGCTGAATTCGCGTCATACTTCGGTATAGACTGTATTCTGCGTGTGCGACAGTACACGAACGACCCAGTCCTGAAGAATGCCTACTATGTGAAACTAATGGAAGTGAAGCACAAATTGTTCACCGGCCTTGCTCAGCATGACAATCATCCCGGTGTCAAGCCGTTGAGGTTGGACGACGTCGCGAGGGTCATAGAAAGCCCCTTCGTGATCGGCTTCGATGAAAATGGTCGCGTAAGTAGTGAATGTACATTCTGTGGAAGTACTTTGTCCCTTTTGGAAGAATGGAATTTATACTTTTCAATTTTAGTTAAAATGTATGAAATGGGTGAACAAGGAGGAAGCATGGTCAAAGAACATCAAGAGATCAATCGCCTCTATGCTTCAATTGGATATGGTCAATATCTTCAAAGAGACACCCATGGAAACACACAGTTTCATAACACCAGAGGTAGGTAACGACTGATGGGGACATCCCGGGAAGGTTGGTTAATGTTCTCTTTGGTTGTTACCACTAGAACACCATACATGGCACGTGCCAAGTGGCCTACAACGTCCAGCCGATGCAAGACAGCAACAAAATGGTAGTAACGAAGATCCATGATCCAATGAACTGTACCAACTTCAATTACCGCAAGTACAACAACATCGAACACGGCGTATGCCAGGTCGCAGAAGAGGTATGGCACGAATGCATTTTAGCATTTCAATTAAAATATATTGGTTTCTTTAAATTAACAAATGTCGTCGTTTTTGCACAGGATGGTATGACTACTGCCAGCAGACGTGTCTTCGATATTGAAAACACCGGCAACGGGATTTTAATAAAAAAACTTGTTGCTCACGCGGTCATCAATTACTTCCCTTGGCTGTCTAGAGCGGAGGCGCACTATCTACTGACAAAGTAACTCCATACCTTTATGTTACTGAAAAGAGTAACCTAAAGTAACGACTAGTAACGAATATATATTTTTCCAGCCAAACGTTGATCTTCAACCAAATTGTCGCACCGCAACCATTAGTAGAATTACAAACTAGTGTGCCAATTCCAGTCGATACTGACATCACTTTCTCTCAGCCAACCGAGCACTATGCTGTTACTGGTGATCTCGATGTTACGCAAGGCAGACACGAAGTCAAACTCGAGAATCTCCAGATTAAACTGAAGAAACTGTTAGACGAGGCTGCCGGCTATCTCAAAGAGAATCACATACACAAGAAAGAACCGGAGTGGAAGCATGGCCAGACAATTAATAGAATTCTGTACATAATGAGTTACATGAACCTGAAGTCATTGGAAGAAGTGCACAATGATATTAGGACACCCAAAGACAACAAAGAAGAAGCGATGAGGTAAGTTAAATCGATAACAGCTAACCATTGAAGAGAAGTTTGAAAAATACTGAAATTCATTCTTGTTGCATTCGTGTCGCAGAAATATTTTCCTGTCGATGGTACCAGAGGTTGGAACCGTCGCCGGATGTCTGTTCACGCGAAACGTAGTTCGCCAGAAGACTGTTTCCGACCTGACCGCTGCCAGTATGCTCATGAAACTTCCGATGAATCTGAAACATCCTCAGGAATCGTTGCTCAAAGATATGGAAGAACTTCTCCACTACGGCGATTCTGTTTCTTACGAAGTAAGGAAAGCTGCCATACTCTGCTTCTCTACTCTGCTCCGTAAGACTTACCATGACGGGACCGTCACGCCCGTTTTAAAGGAGCACCTGCGTCACTTCATGGACGGTCTTCTAAGTACGTACATCTTTCGTTCACTTTTATATATCTATCGCAATTAATACGATCCCTCGATTGTTTTCCAGATGATCCAAGCCACGAGATAAAGGTAGTACACCTGATGGCTCTCAGGAATGTTCACGTGACCGAGATCCTCCATCTCCTCGAGCCGATTATCCGAGGCGAAAAGAAAATTCCTATACTCCCAGACGTCATGCGTATGGAAGCGATCTGGGCTATTAGGGATGTGGCCGCCGACCTTCCGGAATACTCTTACCGATTACTCTGGCCAATTTTCAGCAACGTCAATCTTCCGATACAGCTGAGAACTGTCGCTTACGAAGTGTTGATGAACCAGTGTCCTAGCAGAGGAATGCTCATAAACATGTACTGGGTCATGGTCTACGAGAAGAACATGCACCTGTACAACTACCATGTGGATACACTCAAGGGATTCGCTGGCTCCGAAAATCCTTGCCTTTTACCCGTTCAAGAAATGGTCAGAAAGATCTTACGTTTCACCAGACAGAGAAGCGTTTCTGGACCACTTTCGGGCAAGTTCCACGTTGAATCCCACGACCACATTTTCGGTCACGGTGAAGGTCTGAAGGTCTCATTGATACGCGACGATGTGGGTTTGCCCTCCATTGGTTCGCTTGATCACTTTACATCCGTTGCTCGTAAACCCGCAAATCGATGGGGAGTGAGTATCTTAGCTTGTTCACAACACTAATCACAAACTATAGTTTATTTCATAATTTTCCGTGTGTCTTCGTTCTAGATTCACTGGCACATCGACGGATTACCCGAAATGTTGAACGACATTAACGTCGATATTTTCGGTAGCACGATACACGAAATCACCAGCCAGCACGTGAAGAATCTGCTAAACACAGTGACTAAAGAGCCAAAGATCTGGAACGATATCAATGCACACTTGATGCTGACATGGAACGACAAAGTGTTTATGGTGTGGCATTGCGATAAGAACAACTGGGAGAAAGTAGTCCATGATCTTGTATGGTGGTGGAACTCCCTTGTCAATAGAGATCATTCGGTTCATCAACAATTCGTACTTTTCGACGACAATTATGAGCAGCACGTGGCCACTGACTTTGGTGTACCAGCTGTCTTGTCCACGAAGACACCAGTTTTAGATTCCTTGAAACTGAACACCGTTGTCACACGTGAGGGCAATAATATCAAGATGCAGTTGAAGATGAAGTATCAGGAATGGAAGCACGGCGAGTACTTCATGACCATCTACAATCCTTTCGCTGACGTTTGGCATGGCGTTCGTAGGACCGGAACTCGCGACGTTGTCATTGCGTTCGACTGGAACATTGTTTACAACAATGTGTCGAAGGGCATTAAAGTAACATCGGCTAGATTACCTACGACAGAGTACTCGGTCACTGGATTATTGACTCAAGCCAAGAACTATGTTACTGTCCTCGGTGACGAAAACGGCGCTCTGACGGACAGCTGTCCCAGTTGTTTCCATATCCAAAACGTTACAGGCACCATCAATCGTAAGGTCCACGAGGTTGATGTCGATTCGGTAGACACCGCGTTACATTTTAACTTGGGAATATACAACTGCGAAGGCTATTCTACTCCTTTGCCTCTTGCTGCCTGGCTCCAAGTACTTTCAGCCGATCGCGACACTTATGCGTAAGTATTATGGTACTGATGAACTTTGGGAATACTAAATAAACGAACAATAACGATGTTTACCTCTGAAAAATAGTGATCTGACGAAGCTTGCTCAGCTTGTTATAAGACTACGTCAGAAGGTGAAGAACGACATGATCTCTTCCCACCGTGCCAGTTGCACAAACATGATTCTAGTCGAACCAAGCATTACCCATCTTGCTACACAGGTCAGTTGTAAAACGTTGCTCACGTACAATACATGTCTAACGCTATGCTTGACTGCATTATTTTTTCCTGTGGCATCAGGTCGAGTACTCAACCAAATTTAACGTCGAGAAGCCATCCTGCGATGAACAGGAAATCCTCGACCCAGTGAAGATTGATATCCGTGGAACCATGGATGTCAAGTCACACCCTACCAATGTATCAATAAATCACTGGGATGCTAATGTGAACATTATGCTCTCACCTGGACACACAAACAACCACGTGAAAGTTATGCTTACTCGCATGGTACCAGGAGAGAAGAATTATAAGGTTCGTGGAATCGAAGATCAGTAAATTAAAGATCTGAAGGTTTTCTATTGTAAAATAATAAATTTGCTCCTTCTTTAGATCTGTATCGATGGTCAGAAAGATTACCCACACATTCACGACGAGCAGGATCTGTTGGACGTTACCAACACGAAGAAGGAAACAACCACAATGATAACGATTCTCTCGGGACACACGACGCACAACAGGTGTGACCGTGGCGAAACGGATATCACAGTACTTATAAAAGGTGAAGATGCGGTTGATCCCACGGATCATAAAGTGCATGACCATCTCAAGCATACGTGTCAGAGGGACACTGAAATATCGGCACTCCAAACGGAGGAGGACCACATTCCTAAGACCTGGGCGTGCATACAGAATGCTATGATTCATATGACCCTGAGGAAGTACACAATAGACATTGTACCAAAGAAGGTATATTAGCGAAGATTTGCTGCGTATTTCTCGTAATTGTTCTGTATTCTTCAGTATCATTGTGTTTCATGTTTACTTGTCGTTTAGATGCCAAAAATTGTGGGAGTGTGGGCGCACATAACGCAGGACGTTGTCCGTGCCATTTTCCCCTCGCACTTACATTTCACTTCGGAACTGGCACCTGAAGGAACCGCGAAGATCATCCTTGATTACTCAATCCCTCTACCTAAACTTGACGTAACAGTTAATCGCGATTGTCACACCTATCAATTGCTCCAACTGCCTTTTGGTCACAATGTCTGGCATATGCTGATGGACAACGTACATTTCTCAGCACCAGCAATGCTGCAAATCGTTAATGAAAGAAGCAGTAAGTTTTCAATTACATGGTACCAGTGGTCATCAAGAAATATAGAATCGATGGTTTTTCATTAATGTATCTTTCTTAAAAATGTTAACAGAAATTTGCACAGTCCATCCTCAAGTTACACTCGCTTTCAACAATATGAGTAAACCAGTCACCGTCCCTTCTGAATGGACGCCAGTAGTCACACCCATCGCATCCGAGAAGAAACTTTTCACCCTCTTCACGAAATCAATGCCGAACAACAGATTGGCTATTTTGTTCGCTGTCGGTGATCACAAAATACAAATCGAGCACGGCGATTCAAACGTGATCGTAACAGTCGACGACAAAGTAATACAGGACCCGCGGAATGGTATCGTAGTACCTCCGAATTCTGCTAATTCCTACACACTTAAGTAAGTCCATTAAGCAATTTAGATTGTATAATTAATTAACATTCCGGTATAATCGAAATATCATTTCTTTGCATAGATTATCCAGGGGCTACAAGCACTGGGCTATCCAAACGACGAAGGTCCCAATCAGCATCTTTTACACACCGAACAGTATATCTGTACTGCTCAGTGCTGATTACCAAGGCCATGTACAAGGACTTTGTGGCTCCATGAATTCCCATTCACATGTACAAATGGCATTGATCAGTTAAAAAATTGAAGAAAAATCGTCGGGAGACTTGTTCCGTCTTGTAAACTGTGTTCATAAAAACTTACAGCCATAGGTGTTCATTAACTTCATAAAATACAAAACTTTCTTCATTATAAACGCTATACGATATTGTAGTAACAACAAAAACACGAATAAACCTTTATTTTCTGTAATCTCTAATCAGTTATTTATTTCTGTTGCGTTACCATATTGTATTGTCAGACACGAGATATAAGAATAGACCTAACATCTTATGGGACTTGGTGTCGCACGAAAATCACGCTGGTACGAGCGTACTCCACATAAATGTTTCAGACTGCAGGAATTACGAGTGAGAGCGGAAGAGCGAGCCGCGG